AAAAAAAAAAAAAAAAACACATCTTAGTAAAACCAATACCTTCTCAGCTTCGCATCGAAGCTAAAAAGTTATTTTAATTTGATATTTTGTTGAAAAAGTTATGGTAGTTTTAAAAAAAAGTAAGTGAAATAAGTGACAAAATTTAGCAATTTTAAAAGTTGTAAATTTTTTGGAGATTTCCCCCATTTATAGGGGGAAACGATGATAACTTTTTCAATTTTTAAGCGTATTGTCTTCAACTAGATACGATTTGTGATATTTTGACGTATCTTTGAAAGAAATCGGTCCAGTGAGAGCTGAGAAAAAGAGGCAACAGACATTAAAAAAAAAAAAATAACACATCGTGGTAAAAACAATACCTTCTCAGCTTCCCATCAAAGCTACAAAACCAAATAGTATAATAATTTAATATGAATAAGAAATTTCTTCTCACGGGGAAAACTGCAGTGATGGAGTGCTTGATATTCATTGAAGTTATTCAATCTTAATGAGAAAAATATCAAACGAACTTTAAATTTTTTTATCACCTCAAAAGAGAATTAAGAAAAAAATGCAAAAAAAAAACTATTTCGACGAGCGGGGTTCAAATTTCAAACCACGAGTGTGTAATACTGTAGTATATTTGACGCAGCCACCGTGCATTACATGGATTTTAGATGAAGATGACAATTTAAGCTGGTTCAAAAATTTAAAGTCACTTTTCCTAACTTAAAGTAGGCAAAATAAATATAAATTTATATTTAATGTAAGTTATTAATTTTAATAAAAATTGGTTGACTCATTACTATGGTAACCCCTTATAAGGTGTTCAAAAAAAAAATAAAATTTGAACTTTAAAATATTATGTATTTTAACTACGACAGCCATTTTCATATTTCATATAAATGATAAGATGTCGAGCAGAATTTTTTTTTTTACTATAGTACGTAACACAAGCTTTAATTCTCAATCTTAAATATCACATATGTTTGAATCTCGGAGTATGTCCGGAATATTTTCAAAAATTCAGTTAATAAAGTTAAATTTTTGTGCAGAATTTGCTAATTTGAACTCCTTTTCTGAGCAAGTAAAGGGTCAGAGTTTGAATAAATTTATATCAAATAAGAGAGAAATACTTAAGACATCTATGAAAAAAATTTTGATTTTATTTATCCATTTTTCAAAAAGTTTCTTTTCAGCTTCGCATTGAAGCTAAAAAAGTTCTCAAAAATTGGCCGTTAGTGATGGTAATTTTTTTGACATACGAACATTTTAAAATTATTTCACTTTTTTTTTTGGCAACACTGAGTTATGGTAATAGTTGATAGCTCATCTATTGGTTAACGATCCATATAGACTATAAGGAGTTATAAATTCATATAATCTGTCCATCCCATCTGGAAAATAAAATGTTATATTATCAGCATTATATTATAAACAAAATAAAAAGCATACTACTATTATCACATTTTTCAATTTAATGTTCATAACTTTAGAAATTATTTACGGAATTGACTGAATCTTTATGGTAGTAAGATATTTTTATAAAATTATTACCAACATAATCTTAATTTCATCATGGTAAGGATATTTTTTGTTTATAGCGTAGAACATTTTATTAATATATGAATTTTTAGTCTCATACCATTTTGTTGATTCAACCGGGCAATAAACCTGAGACTAGAACTTATTCTGATTACGAGTCTGTCAATGACTGTATGGAAGGTAAAGCGATCTATTTAATTAGTATTGTTATTTTGATATTATTGTAGTTCAAAATTTTTAACTGATTTATAGTTGACTAGATTTGGTTCTAGACACAAAATATACTTTAGTACTTTAAATGTTTACTCATAGAAGTCAAGTTATTGAAACATAATTCTTTTTTTAATCATATAGTACTGTTTCTCTCAGCCTCACATAACATTATAATTCTATATGAAAGTGTATTGGTATCTAAATCATAAATGCTTGTGGCATAATGGTAAGGTTTGTCTCTACGCCTTGGACTTAGGCTCTAATTCTGTATATCTCACTTCATTTTTTCACATAATGTCAGATACACTTTCCATGACCATTTCAACTGTGAAGCTTCTTTTTAATTCAATTTCGAATATTTTGAAAAATATAAATAGGAAATTCTAACAATGATAACAAAGTGTTTTCAATGCAAAAGACAACTACTGTACTATTTTTCTCTTATAAACTCCTACCAAATTAAAATTGAGATTGCCTAATATTTAAAAAACTTTCTGGTTGTTTACAGAAAAAATAGTTTAGAAGAATAAATATTAATTTAAATTTTATTTTGCAGGTGTATGCAAAATATATGAAGAGCATTTAAAAAAACTCAATCCTAAGTCTGTATCTATTACATATGATATAACTCAGCTTTTCGAATTTATTGACCATTTGGCTGACCTTTCATGTCTTGTGTATGTAATCAAATTTACAAAAAAAGAAAAACAATTACTATTAAGTTATTATTGTTGAAATATAAATATTTTTTTAGGTATCAAAAAAGTACCATGACGTATGCTCCATACAATAAAGATTGGATTAAAGAAAAAATTTATGTATTGCTCAGATGCCAAGCCAATCAACGTCAGTAAGAATATAAAACTTATTATTAATATTTGGTTTTCCTATGATATATAAATGACGCAGATTAATTTAAAATAAATTATCTATGACAAACACATATTTCCAATTGTAAATTTTGTTGTATATTTTATTTATCTGAATATCATGTCTAAATAAATCTATTATGCAAAGATTTTACAATTAGAATTTTCATAACTTATGACTAAGTTAACTAAGTTTATGATATAACTTGTATTATAATTTTTATTTTATACAACACCAAATTTTTTCATTGTTTAAGAGAATTTATATAACAAAATTACTTTAAATTTCTTTTGAAAAAATACAGATTAATGCTTGATTGATTAAATCAATAAATTTTTGTTTTTTTTTTCTAGAGTTTTGTGATATGTTTTTATATTTAATTATTGTGTGTATAGATTCCCGAGCTTCATTTAAAGCATGTATTGTGTTACATTTTATTTTAAATGGTATCAGTTAAAATGTATATTTTAAAATGTTAAATTAATTTAGATTTACTTAGATAAATAAATTATTACTCCGAATATTTTATAATTTTTAAATTGTTGGATAGTATTCTTTTTATTCATAAAATCCTGTTATAAAATATAAACTATAAATAAAGACAAATTGGTAACTTTTAATAAATATAAGTTATGATTACCCTTTTTAAGATAAAAAATACTCAGTTTATTATTTTACTATTCCAAATTAAAATGCCAAATAAATTTAAAAGTGAGTTCAGAAATTTTAGATAACTTATTGAAAAATTAAGTCTTGTAAAAGTACAAATACTTATGTTGTAACTTAATCATATGAACAGGTATTTAGGTTATGACATGATCATGAATCTTTTTAATAATCATAGATGTAATATATATTTTTATATATTATATTACATCAAAATAAATGTTTTACATAATACCACAACTTTATTCTCTAACATTTCTATTATTTTAATTTTCATTAGAAAATTATGCTTTGATCCATTCATCTTGTTTTTTGATCAACTCATAATAATGACTTTTTAAAGCTTTTAATTCTTCATGACTACCTAATTCTACAACTTTCCCATTTTGAATGACAGCTATCGAGTCAGCGAGTTTAATTGTATGTAGACGGTAAGAAATGATTATACAAGTTCGGCCAATACGAGCTTTATTTATTGCTTCATGTATCATCTAGAAATAAAATAATAGAATTAATTTGATAAAAACAACAAATACATAAAATTGCAATATTAATTAAATTACAATCAATTTTGAACTGATTTCTAATTTGGTTTTATATTTTTTTAATTACAACAATTCTAAGGTTATTTTCAGTGATGTAAAATATATTTATAAAATGCATTTAATTAAGATACACAATCTGTCACATCATAAATATTTAATACATTTTAAATATTTTTGCAAAAATGTATTTAAGAATAAATACAGGTACTATTAATTTATTTAAATACTTTTTATCTTATTTTAAATTCAAATTTAATACAAAAAGTAATAAACATGAAAATAAAACTTAATGTTTTCTAAAATTGTTAATTATGTTATCAACTTATTCACTTTCTAAATATTAAGTTTTATTAACCACTAGTAATTGAACCAATGAGTTTTAAAAGTATAAATATATTTTTATTGAAATTTAAAAGTGATGGCTAAACACATATGTATGTGTTTATTTAGTGCTTCAGCAAATTGATAATAATATCACTTACTAATTGATCACTTTCTGTATCTAAAGCTGTTGTTGCTTCATCTATTAATAGAATTTTAGGGTTTCTTAAAAGAGCTCTAGCTATAGCTATGCATTGCTTTTGACAAACAGAAAATTGGTAATTTTTTCCTCCAATTAAAGTATCATACCGCTGTAACATTTATTATGTAATAATTATAAAATTCTTCCAAATACTATAAAATAGTTATCTAATTATTAAATTAAATTTTAAAATAAAAATTTATATTGATATTAAAATAAATCTAAATTATAAAGAGGTATTTAAAGCCTTTTTATAAATAATATTTATAGTAGATAGGCCACAGGAATTTTAGGAAAATATTAAGATTTTAATTGATAAATATTTTTAAACTGAAAAATATTTAATTAGTTATTTTACTACTAGTTTAATAATTATAAATGTATTATGAAATTTACTTGAGCCAATGAAGAAATGAAGTTGTGTATATTTGCTTTTTTTGCAGCACCGATTATTTCATTCATAGAAACATTTCTATCATTGATGCCAAATGATATGTTATCTTTTATTGAGCAATTAAATAACACTGATTCTTGAAAAACAACTCCAATATTGTTTCTCAAATGATGTAAATTCAATGCATGTATATCATAATTATCTATTTCCTATACATATTTTATTTGAAAAAAAAATAACATTTAAATATTTTAGCTATCTGACAGTATAATTTATCAGAGTTTTTGATAACATTATTATTGATCTTACAATTACTCCTGCTGTAGGATTATAAAATCTCTCAATCAGTGAAAAAACTGTACTTTTACCACATCCAGAATCCCCAATTAATGCTAATGTTTTCCCAGATTTTATTGTGAAATTAAGTCCTTTTAGAACTTCTACATCTGGTTTTGATGGATATATAAACCAAATGTCTTTAAGAAGTACTTTACCCCTGATTTCCTAATTTTATTTTTAATAATTTAATAAGTTATAATATAGAAAGATATTTAAATTATTTACTGGTTTCAATCCTGATTTTGATAATGGATCAATTTCAGATTTTCGCAAAATAAGTTGAAAAATAAGATTAACTGCTGTTTTTCCTCTATAATAACCTTGTAAATATATTGATGTATGGCCAACAGACAATGCACAAAATGTTAAAACAAAGAAAACTCTAAAATTGAAATGTAAATCTTTATAATAAATATCATTTACCTTTTTAAAAAATAACTAACCGATAAATATTAGTCGATGATATTTCTTCTACTACAACGAGATATGCGCCATATCGAAATATAATAGCATGTATAGCATACATAATTGCTAAAGATAAAGCATACACAAGTGAATATATAAATACTTTTTTTTTTTTTGCAATAAATGGAATCCCGAGACTATATTCATATTGATCAATAAACATTTGTTCTTGTGCTAAACATTGAATTGTGTAAATGTTTTCGATTATTTCACTGGCAATCTACAATATATTTTAACTATACAAAGTTCATGGTTTAAAAACATTGTTCTAATATTTAGTATATGATACTTAATTAGTGTAATAAATGTTTAACTAAATATTTAAGTATTACCTTAGACCGTACCCTCACTATAAACAACATCTAGAAGCAATAGGATAGCAAGAAATAATATTATATAAAAACTTGCAAGGTATGGCGGGGGGGCTGACTCTAACTCTCTTAGGATCGCCGCGCTGGGATTGGTGTTTGCTGCAGCGGCAGTTTGTATCAAAAGTGGGCAATGAGAACCATATCAAGAATGTTAAAAAACAACTTCCCTCCCATAGCTTCCTGTGATGGCTAATATAATGCACCATTCCTTATATGAGAAAAGGCATTAAGAAGGAGTGGCAAAAATACTTAGTCTCCTGGTCTGCCAATTTAGAAGGACATTATACATTTACCAAGTGTGAGATTGAAATCACGTAGTTCCAGCTGGAAGATTATGGATGATCCCAGTTGTGATGTAGTGGATCAATGGAAGCATGAGATTACCGGGTTTCCAACTACCAAGGAAAGAATAGAGTACTCTAAACCGTTTTAAGTGCAGTCAAGGAAAATGCAGTTTTCCTCATTATATAACTATAGTATAATATATTTTATTTTAATACTGTTTCCACATTTGTTAGATTCTATTTAATTGTTTCAAGTGTCTATATGTTTTTGTTATAATGATTAACTGAAGTTTAAAAATAAAAAAAAAGGATTAATTTACTTTACTAGTGTTATTGTTGTAAATTCTCTTTTGAATTTTTCGCAATAGTATGAACTGTTTATTGATAGAAATAATAATTAGAGGCACTCCAAATACTAATACTATGGATATTTTCCATCCTAAACCAAAAGAAATAATCAATCCTACTGATGTAGTGACAATAATTGATATTATTTGACTGACTCTTAAACTAGCAACCTATTTAAAAAAAAGATATAATATAAAAAGCAATCACTTTATTTAATCAAAAAGCAAATACACTAACTGATTTGATTAAAGGCGCCTCTTTAGCTAGTTTATTAATTAAAGTATTAGGATGAGAGTTTTTAAATTCAAACCAATATATAGGTTGACGTAAGATATTTTCAAAAGTGTTAATTCTTATTTGCATAATCAATTTCTCAGAGGCAGTTGTCAAACCAATAGTCTATAATAACAAAAAAAAAAAGCATTATATACAACTATTATATAATGCATTCTAAAATGTAATCATTTTTTTATACTTTTAACCACCAAGCAATAGCTGAAATTATGGCCAATACAATAAACATTTTTGACCAAAAAGCAGCTTCATCTAATAAATATTCACCTTCAAGTGTCAATGTCTATAAGAAAAAGCAATATTATTTTACTAGATAATAATTTTTTTTTCTTTAAATAAATATGTCTAAAAATTACAGCGAAAATTTGTCCATATAAAAATCCAAAAATTGGCACTATTAATCCAGTTAAAGCACATCCAAGAAAACCTATCATTAACCATGACCACTCAGGGCTATTAAGTTTCAACAAAAAGTTTGTACCTATGCAATTGTAAAAGTTCTGAAATTATAGTAATAAAGAAATTTAATATTTAAAATATTAATTTGGACTAAAAAATAATTTAAATATATTTTTAATTTTAAATATAAATTACAAGTGATTAATTTTTATTAAATAATAAAAAAAATTAAATATCACATAGATATTAGACCAGATAATTATGTGATTTTCATAGTTAGCTGGTGCCTTTGTATTATATCCAAAGGCTTTGAGGACCATCTATGCCCAGTATGCATTGAATTTTTAAAAAAAGATGTAAAAACTTAAAATACACTGGTATTAAATAATATCAGATTATTATGTAACTTAAATTACATTTTCATGAAATTTCCCCCATGATTAATACAATTTAAAAACAATATCAAGTAAGAATGTGTTTAATAGGTTTTTCATATTGCTTTAAATGTTTAGATGTAAATCACAGACCTAACAAATAATGCTGAAGTTAATGTAATTAAGTATCTATCTAATGTACCTAAGTATTTTCAAATTTCAAAAGTTTCGTTTACAATAGTAATACAGGATCCGTTAGAGCAAACTCATATTTTTAAAGCTGTTATAAATTCAAGTGAGAATGTTCGATCAGAGTGAAAGACAGCTTGTTAAAAAGCTGATATGGTGTAGTTTTAGTTGTAAATATGGTTTATAGTTTGCAACAACACGTGTTCGCAGTATAGCGGTATTTCAAAAATGAACATTTTGTGGTTCCCTTGATCCCCCTAACAAGTCATAAACTCTTTATGAATTGAAGGACGAAATCAATCGAGTGGTGAGAAAAGTTCCAGGACAAAAGCTACCAAAGCTATGGGCTTGTTTTACAAGTGCCTGGATTCCTGCATTGCAGCTTGGGAGCGCCTATGACTGACATTATTTTTAGAACTTACATTTTTTTATGTTAAAAAACTGCATAAAATTTTGCATTTATTGATATAAAACTTTTTTTTTCTACAATTACTTTTAGTGTAGCACCCTTTTTAAAACATACATTAGCTCTGACAGACCCCGTATTATATAGAATACTTTATTCCCTTAAGGGTAAAAAGTTTACTTAAACTCATTAATGTCTACAAAATGTTAAATATATAATTAACACTTCTCTTATGTCTGCGAATAGATATGCTTAAATAATGAAATAAATAAAAGAAACTTTTTATTTAATGTTGACAATTTATACTTGAACTTACAAAATATTCCACATTATTTAAATTTTGAAATTCTTTTGTAGAACAATCCTTTTCGGCGAAGTTGTTTGTTTTGTAAGCATCTTTAAGAACTTCTAAATCAGATGACTCCCATCTAACAAATTAACAAAAGGAAAAAATAAAACTATCTTTAATATATATATATATATATTAGGGTGGTCTAAAAGTGACAAAAAAAAAATTTTTTTTTTTATGTTATACTCCTACACTTGAAAATTGTTCTACCTGGTTTTATATACAATTCTCAAGAAAAAAAAACACGAAAAATTAATTTTTGAGCCATCCCAAGCTATTTGAAAATTTTTAACTTAAAAAAAAAAAAAAAAAAATAATGAAAACTATTTTATGTATTCGTTCTTATATTTTTTTATCAATAAGTCAAGCTATATTATATAAATCATTTTTAACATTTCTAATTTTACTTACTAAAGAATTAAAAAATTATATAAAAGTTGAATTGCTTTTTTTTAAAGTGTGTTTGCTGCAATCAGGGTAAATCTTCCGATGCTCAGAAACTACTTGTAAGAGAAACTGAAGTTGATCCTCATCATGGGTAATTTTGCGATTAAGGTCTTGGATCAATGAAACTCCTCTTTCTGCCACGTCATTGGTAACTCGAAGATTCTTAAAAACTTCCTCTGCTTTTAAGTAGCTTTTAGACTCGGTCCAGTTTACCACGTCATTTTTCAAAAATTCATCGACACCAAATTCTGTGAAAATTTGTATTGTATTTTTGTTAGCTAAATCATGAAGCTGTAAATTTTCTACATCGTGTTGGTCAATTTTCGGTCTTACATTGGGAACTTCTGGAGAGGGGTTATTATTTATGGCGTAAATTATCTTACATTTGGTTTCAACAGGGACATTTTTGTCGAACAGACAAAGACCAACTAACTCATCTGACAAATACCATAAATGACCCATCATTTTTTTTACAGTGGCTTTTGAAATATGTGGATTATCATATTTTATTAAGGTCTTTATCAGTTGCAAGTCATTATTTGGAGCACATGCCGCCAAAGTTGCAGTGAACCAATTTTTTAAATGGACGGTTACAATGAAAACACATATTTCCTCGAGGCCCCTTTTTTCTTTGGTACTTAGATGAAATTGTCCACTAAACATAAATATTTTTAAACAGTAAATTACTTTTGACATCCAACGTGAATGACTAGTAGCACCTGGAGTCATAAATTTTATTCCTCTGGTGGGTTCTTCACCAAGAAATATAACTGATAATTCCAGCATCTCACGATAATCATCTCTTACTTGTTTTATTTTAAGCATTTCTTGGCAAAAATTAACTAGTTCATGTCGTATATTCTCTGTAATCCTTTGAATAATAGCCGAGTTTGCTATAACGTATGCAGAATGATCAATTTTAGACCAAGAAGATCGAAATCGTACAAACATTCGGTTATCAGGGCCTGTTGTCGCTGAAGGTAACACTGCTTGAAATGCTGCTCCAATGACTAATTCAAAAATATGATATCTGCATGCAAGCCAAAATAAGTTTTTTCCAAGTTTACGTTCTAATAGTACACATGACCCATTGTTTTTACCAGTATTCGAAAATGTTGTATCAAAACACATTGCAACGATATTTTTGTATAAATTCCATTCTTTTTCACTCAAACAATCGAAAACGGTTTGTGCCTGCATTTCTCCTGTTGAACAAGATAATTTTTTAATACTCAGTAATTTAATTTCATCTCCACCTGACACCAATACTGGGAGACAGTCCACATATTGTAAATGAGTGAGGTCCAACATCAGTTTTCCATCCCAGTGAACTGTTAATTTGCTGTTTATTGTAAATGATTCTTTAATAAAACTAGCCATTTCTTGCCTTAATTTCTTACGATGTAGTTTTATCGTACTTTGACTACATGCAAACGTATCAATATTCTCTCCAAGACTTTTTAGTGTAGCTCCAATGATAAAGGTGGCTTGCCGATCACTGACCTTAGTTCTATCTAGCACAGCTGATAATTCTGATGTGATCAAAGGTTTCAATTTCTTTTTACTTTTTGAACTTTTTTTGATTTTTTTTCATTGACAATAAAATCATCGTCGGAATTAGTATTATCACTAGAATGGTTTTCTTCTGTACTTAATGATGTAAAATCATAAAAATTACTCAAATTTTGATTAGTAACTTTTTCTTTATAGAGTTGTTGTTTTTCTTTTCGTTTATCTTTACGATTCTCTTTTTGCGTGGTAAAAACGTCCACTGTAGACATAAAACCTCTTCTCCCTGGCATCCGTTGTGCCAGTAAAAACTGTCTATCTTCATCAATTTTAATTTTTTTTAAAGCATCAGCATCAGCGATATCGAAGAGATTGGTCAATTTTATATGAAACCCACATTCGTGTTGTCGGTGAAGCTCTGTTTTTCTATTTTTATGTTTGAAAAGATTTAGCCATTGATTATAAAGTTTTTTAAACTTATTTATAGCATTATCTTTTCGAGTTGTCGGTATTCTTGCTTTATTCCAAACAAATGTAACTTCTTCGATCACTTTATTGCATGCATATTTAAACAAATTTTATTCAATACGATAAATATGAAAGAAAAACCGTAATACTTCACCATTAGACGGCAAACGATTACTTGGTATAGTTGAAATAGGCTGACCAATTAAATAAATATAAGTATTACTTCGCGTTGTCATTTTTAATTTACTGAATAAATATATGTATAATTAAATTAGCACTGATTCACATTTAAAGCACACTGACAATTAACAATTAGAGTGACACGAACATCAAAACAGCGCACTGTCAACTAAAATATAATTCTACAATGATAATAGACGTATATCAACCTTTAATATATAGTCATAGTATAATAAGTTATACACTGTACAATACATAGGAATAACCCTGTCAGAAGTGTAGATAAAATGTTTTATTTATTGATATAGTAATAATACAGTCGTATAAGAAAATATTACAATTGCGATAATACTAATATTTATAAGTATAGTATAGGAAAAATACCGTAAGTTATTCTGTACAATAAAAACTTTAAATTGCTTGGGATGGCTCAAAAATAATTTTTTTTCATAAGTATAAATGTGGAAACTATTTTTAAACTCTAGAAAACAAATTTAGATGGTAGGAGGACAAAATTTTTTTAAGTAATTTTTTTAGACCACCCTAATATATATATATATATGTTTTTTTTTTTTTTAACTAACTGTGAATAGTCATCATATTTATTAATTTTTGAATATTTTCTATTCATACTACTTTGACGGATGTATATCTTTTCATTATCTGTCAGAGTACCCTGAATGATTAATCTAGTAAAATTAAAATTTTTTATTATTTAATAGTTAGTAACCATTACTTGATCTGAATAAATAATTCGTTTTATTTTGCTTGTGGTAACTTTTTTAGTAACTTTAATTTTACAACCATCAGATTCTTCAATAGTAAAGTTATCAACAGAGTAAACTTTTTCTGGTTCTTCAATGTTTTCATATATTGATAAAGATTTGTTGTATGAATGTGTTGACTTTTCTTGAGCTCTGTAATATTAAATTTAACATTAGAAAAACATTTAATTAATATGTTAAGCTACCTACTTATATTTATTAAATAACATTATGAGAGACATCAAAATATCATTGATTAAATAAGGCAACTTGCTAGGGTAGAATTGTCTAGGCTATGATACATAACCACTTCCTAATTTTTTAGACTTTGATATACAAGGTGATTGATGTATCAATTAGATTTTAAAATTTTTATAAAATAATATTTATACTACATTTTTTTTACTTATTTAAGCAGTATTTATTTCTCAATTCATAAATGGTTTAGTTCTATTTCTTGTTCCATATAACAATACCAACTTATTTCTTTTAAGGCTAACAAACATGTTTTACTAGTTTATAACAACTTTTGATCCAGAATTTCGGAAATAATAAAAATTTCTAAATGTAGATTGGATGTGAGGGTAGGTTATGTTATTTTAAATATTATGCATTTTTCTGTCATTTTACTCCTCCAGTTGTAAAAATATTCATAACTTCTGAACTACTGGTTTAAAAATTGTTATTGAACAATCATTTTCTTAATTACATATCACTTTCTAATATTAAATCTATTATATGTTGTCATTTAAAAAAATATATAACAGTTACTGTTTATAAATCAAGAAATAAATACTAAAAAAAAAAATCAAAATTATTATTATTTTAAGAGAAAATGGTCAACAATGCATCAGTCTATCTGTATAAGTATTTAAATAACAAGGTATTTAATTTTTTTCCTTCCCTAAAAATTTAAATACAAGCTAGTAAAAATCTACTATTTGTCTGTCTTTTAGTGAATCTAAAGTAAGAGTAAGTTTTGCTGATAAATAATATTTGTAGGTTGGTTAATGAACTGTCTAGTAAAATCTCACATAATACTCTCTAATTAGGAGTTTGTCTAATAGGAATTCATAAAGCAATGAATATAAATATTAATATTTGCTTAAATTAAATCAAGCAAATTATTTTAGTAAAAATTGATATGCAACTTGAACATTTTTTATATTATTTAAGAACAAGAGAACCACTTAACAAAGATTTTATCTCATTCATCTCTCTGGTACTGGTAATTGACAAAAAGTTATTCTTAAGTCTTTCTACTTTTAAAGAAGAGTATATTGGTTGAGTTCAAAGGTATTTCTCCAACTTGGTATCTCGCAAAAAATAAGCTAGGTTGGTATAAATAAGACTTATTTCATTTTTGGTATGTTTTTTGTTATAGTTTACTGACTATAAATCTAAAACCAATGGGTTATAAGGGCATTAATTCCCTTTAATAAAATGAAAAATATAAAGGGCCTTTAAATTTTTTATATATGCCAAATTATAAACTATTAAACTATTCTTAATATTTACTTAATATTTCCTCTGTTATTAACTTCTAAACATGTGTGCTGATTTGGTTCCTGAAATAATTATTCAAAATAAGACTGAAATATATTATTTAACTTATTTAAGGAAGGAATTAGTAGTTTTTAATTTTGTGATAATTAAATTAATAATTAACCAACTCGTTTAATGAGTTATGACGTTTATTAATAAACAATTGTACAAAAATAATAAAACACTGTTAGGTAAACAAAGAGTATATTACACATCGCAAACAGGAATTGAAACCCAACTAATAAAAAAAAAAAATAGGACGAAGCCGCTCTAGCCTTATATATATATATATCTTTTTGTTTTATTGTCTAATGCAGTTTCTCAAGAATCGAACATTCTAGTATATTCAATTGCTTCAATTTTATATTTATGTTTAAACTTTAAAATACCAAGATAACAAAACATAAACTAGTATTTCCTAAAGTGAGTTCTACTGCTCCTAGACACTACTAGAACTTATTCAAGGAAGTAATGAATATTTTATTCATATAACAGTAAATACAGTTTTAAGAAGACTAATTTTTTTAAACGAAAAGACAAAGCTACGAGTTTTATTAATAGAGATGAATCTGTAAAATTTGTTTTTAAGTGTAAATTATGAGAAAAAATTTAGAAACCTCTAATTTGAATTGTCTTGATTGACTAATTGATATAGAGTTTGACAAAAAATGTGCAATCACCACACACTTTTGAACTCCATACTACATATATTTTATTAAAAATATTATAAAAACAGGTTCTGTTCCTAAAGAAAAAGGAGTTAAATTAATTTATTCATGTTTACGGGAGAATTAAATAAAATTTTGTTATTTAATGATGAACAGCCAATTAACTTTGTGAAGTGAATAATTTTTATGTTCTTTAATATAAAAATTACTCAATTTTTGTTTTACATTTACTTTTTTTTTTAAATGTTATACGCTAATTTAAGCTTTAAGTCAGTTTTCCTTAGAGTCACAGAAATAATTTATTATTTAAATAGTGCCATAAATTCTACCTATAACTTAATTTATAATGCATTTTAGAATAAAATAAAAATTTTATTATTAAAAATTATTTTTACTATTTGTTGAGTTAATTCTAAAATATCATTTTGCTCAAGAATAATTGGTTTTTCTAATTTTTCATCATAAGTATTTCTCAATTTAGGTTGAATATTGAATAAACATGAGTAAAATCCATTTTTAGCTATAAGAGAATCGTGCGTTCCAATTTCCACCACATTACCTTCCTGTAAATAAAATAAAAAAATTTGCTTAGCTATTGAACAAATAAACAAATAATATTACTTGAAGGACATATATGACATCAATATTTTTTAAGGTTGAAAGTTTTTGAGTTAAAATTATAGTACTCCTATTCTTCCATATCTTTTCTAATGTATTTTTCATAATTTCTTCACCATCTGTAGGTAAATCAACTTCATCCAGTAAAAGTATTTTAGGATTTTTTATTAATGTTCTAGCAATAGTAATTTTATATTTTTGTTCTCTGGATAATTCTGTGCCTAAATCTCCAACTAATGTATCATAACCCTAAATAAGTTTATTCATAATTTATAAGTAAGAAGAAATTTCACTCGTAACTCTTATTACTTTGGGTAGTTTTATAATGAAACTATGTGCATTAGCAGCCATTGCTGCATTTATTATATCTCTCTGAGAACATTTTGATTGACCATACCTAATATTGTCAGAAATTGAGGCATTAAATAATACAGGTTCTTGTGAAACAATGCCAATGTTTTTGCGTAGCCAATGAACATTTAATTCTTTTAAATTAATATTATCTAATAAAATCTTAAAATATTGATTTTCTAGATTAGAAAAATATCAACGCTAATAATAATTTAACACATTATTTATCTAAAATATTTGTGGTATCTACTGTATAATTCTAATATACAACATATTGTAATTGTAAAATTAAATTAAGCTAGAGTAAATAAGCTATTAAAAAAAGTGTATGTTCCCTCTAAATCTAGTAAAAATAATAATGTATTATGAAAAATGAATGACCATTTTTAAAATTTTTTTTTAATAATATAATTAGGTTTTTTTATGTATAGTAATATTATAGCTTGATAATTAGCTTTCATTACTGTTATTATTTTTAATGAACAGTTTTTAAAAATAGTGCAACAAATTTTTAGAATATGTGTATTACAAATTAAAAATATAAAATATTTTATTAATAATTACTTCGCCTTCTTTAGGATCACAAAAACGCATCAGTAAACTAGCAATAACATTTTTTCCACTTTCATTTGAACCAACAATGGCAATAGTCTTTTTAGACTCAATAGTTAACGATAAATTATTTAATACCTACAAAATTAATATTTTATTGATACTATTCCCATTAAAATTTATAAGTAAAACTATTTGATTTTAATTATTTACAGATGATGCATTTTTTGGACATACGAAACTAACATTCTTGAACTCTATTTTTCCTTTTATTTTTTTGATTTTCTTTCCTTCCAAAGAGTAAGGATCAATATTAGGTATATAATCAATTATACCAAAAACAGTAGATGCTGAATCAATAGCAATGCTAACTAAATTAAAAATTGGTAAAACGTTTCCAATTGAATATACTCCAACCATCACACTAAATAACACCTGTGTAAATTAAAAAGGTCAATATTAATTAATAATATTTAAATTTTTCTATTCTTTCTAGCATAAGTAATAACTTTTAAAAAGAACATGAAATAAATTTAGTAAAAATTACATTACATACTGTATATAAACTTCCAGGTGTTGATATTCCAGCTATAATTAAATTTGAATCATACCAAAATAATATACCATGTAAAGAATATATGATTAGAAATACAGATCCTAGTAAAATTGCAAAAATGAAGTACTTTTTCATTACTAACTTTCGTCCTTCTTCTAAAGCCATTTCATACCTGAAAATTTATTATGATTTTTTTATAATTATTATAAAAATCAACTTGATTTTCTTGTTTTACAAATTTATGTATGTAAATTCAATCCAATTACTTAATGGAATAGATAAAACTAATAGCAGAATGAGATATAATGGCATTTTAGAATACCATTATTTAAGCATCTTAATTGATTGTTTGGATGGTCTTACCGCCCCACCAACAGTAAATATGTACTTTTATTTTAGAACTAATATATACTTGTTATAATAAAAACTTAAATAAAGATATAATAAATGTTTTATGTCTGAAAACAGACTTTAAAGTATGCTCTTACATTATAAAAAGATGGTTAGTTAAAAGTTTTACCGATTAAATTAAATTTTTGATGCTCTTTACAAATAATTTGGAAATATTTAAGGATTATTTAATGTTAAACTACTAAGTTAAACATATTTTCTAATTTTTTCACCTACGTAATTAAAAATTACTAAATTTTAAATCAAGAAAATCTTATAAAATTAATAATAATAGTTTCTGATAAAATACCTTGCATAATATTAATCAATAATTAAATAGTAGAGTTGTTGTCACTGTTCTCATTGATATAGCAGATACAAATGTACTAATTTAATGTTAGAATTTCAGAATTTTAGTACAAAGGTATATTTTTATATCATCATTTATACTACAACAGTGAGTAACTCAGTATTTCTAGATTTACAAGAAAATCAAATTCAAATATGAATTATACACAAATTATACAAAAGGTGATTTTATTTTCATAACTTACAATAAAACTATGTATCTAACAAAAAAGTGTATAAAAAATTTTTTAGAAACTTCTTTTATCATTTTTGAAAAAATTCTCATATTGCCAAATTTTATATTTAATGTTATAATAAAAACATTAGTTCCTTAAAAAAGTTTTTATCTCTTCACTTTATTTCTGTTGAAAATTTTAGCAAATAAAAATCACATACATTTACCCATTTAGTAAAAATTTGGTTCCACTACTAGAAGAAATTTTAAATAAATTCCTGTTATTTCATTTAATTGATGGAGTATTAATTATTATTAAGTAATATATTATTGCTATTATTTTTAATAAAATATTAAAATTTGAAGCTACTGGTAGGATGGATAAAGCTTTTATAATATCCATAGATTACCTTTCTAATTCCTTAATTTCTCTACCAAATGCAGCAACAGTTTTAATGTTACTTAAAACTTCGTTAGCTACTTTTCCAGCTGATTCATATTTGATATGTTCTCTTAAAATTGTAGTTTCTGAAATCTTAAAAAAAAAATGATTCAATTACATAAACATTTTTTCTTAAGTATGTAACCTAATGTTTGTGTTAGTAATGGCGTAATTTAGTATAATTTGATAGTAAAAAAGTAGCAGATTTAAAGTGGATTCAGGGATTGTGGACCTCTAAACATCAATATTTATGTATTATACACTATGATTAATATGTACCGGACATTAATCAATAAAACAAAGTACCTTTGTCACATTTTCCTTTATCATATCTAGCAACTCAAAATGACACCCACTATGAGGCAATTTCAGTCGGGAGAACAAAAAAATTCACACGGTGCTAAGTGGAGTGAATATGGTGCTTGTTGAAGTTGTTCAACGTCGTGTTTCATTAAATACTCTTGCACTAGCTTGGCTTTGTGAACTGGCACGATGTCTTGGTGTAAAATCCAATTGTTGGCTGCCCACAAATCCAACCATTTACAACGCACTCCATCTCTCAAACACTTCATAACGCCAAAGTAATATTCTTTATACTACTGATAGTTTGGCCATGTAGCAAGTATTATCGAATTGGACAATCATAAATTGTTTATATGAGTCATTCCCGGTACATATTGATCAGTGTATAATACATAGGATATTACTCTCATAGAGTGATTCACTTATCATGAACCACTTTATAAATAAAAAAATAATATAAATAAATTTTTTATTTGTTTTTTTTTGTTCAATGTTTTTCTCAATTTTTCAGTCATTAACTTTTATTTTTATGTTCATCCCATATACCTTATAACGGTATCAACTTTAATTTCTTAACAATTTAAAGTATAGACTGAAGGTAAGGATTAGCTACTACTATTTATATTACTAAATATGCCCCACTTACTTTTCCTCTCACCTAAATATAAATATATCAATAACTTCCGAAATACTGATCCCCAAAATGTTATTGACCACACATTTACTTAATTAGAACACTACCTATTAAATAAACTAATTAATTAGGGATATTGTCATATGAGAAATTAAAGTTGGTACCCTTATAAGTAATAAGGGATGAATATAAAAAAAAATTTGTGTGGATCCATACATTCTTCAAAGAGTTATAGGAATTTAAAGTTAAAAATAGAAAATCGAACAATTTAACACAAAAAAATCATGATTTTAACTACGGCAGTCATTAAAACATATAAGTCTTCTTACTATGGACAATTTTTTTTTTTTTTAATTTATAGAATGTAACATAAGTTTTAATTTAACATATGTTTAAAGGACGCAGTATTTCCAGACATTTTAAAAATTAAATGGACTATTGTGAAAAAGTTACTATACTGAATGGATTATATCCTGTGGGCAAATAAAGGGTTAGATTTTTAAAATTTATATAAAATGAAAAAGAAATACCTAAGATATCTATAAAAAAATGTTTTGATTTTATTCATCCATTTTTCAAAAATTTATAATAGTTTTAAGAAAAAGTCTAAATTTACAATTACAATTTAAAAATTATAATTTTTTTGGGAATTTTACCAACTTACAGGGAATATGGGAAATTTAAAAAAATTTAAGGGCAATGTCTTCAACTATATACGATTTGTGATCTTTTGACGTATTATTGAAAGAAAATCGTCTAGTGAGAGCTTAGAAAAAGTGGCGACATAAAAAAAACACATCATAGTAAAATTAATACTTTCTCAGCTTCACACCGAAGCCAAAACACTTTATTATTGAAAAATTAAGAGAAACATTGAACTAAAAGAAACAAATAAACATTTTTTTTAATATATATTTATTAATTAAGTGGTTCATGATAAGTGAATTACCTTGTCTAATTCAAGTACATATTATTCTTTAGGACATCTCAAGGAAAATGTTGAAATTTCACTATTAATGCAATAAAATCAAACCTCAATATTTACACAATAAGGCATGACTAGTTATACATGCTATCTATAATAAAAATACTTTACCTTAGATACTGCATAATATAATGAAATAAGAATTGGAGCAACACATAATAAAGGAATAGTAAGTCTCCAGTTCACAATAAATCCCACAATAACACCCGAAAAAAATGTGCTGCTATGCTGTATAATCATGCTGAATTTACTGCCAATGCCTTCATGTATTTTCACTAAATCGCTAAAATTTTATTTATTTAAATATTACTAAATGGACAAATTTAATTTTAAAAATAATGATAATACTTTGTTAATTGTATAGATAACTCTCCTTTATCATTTAAACTATTAAAATTATATCTAAGTACTTGACGGAAAAGTTTTTTGCAAAATTGATTAATTTGATTTTCACATGCCATTTCCCAACAAAATATCTAAGCAAATATTAAGTTAGTTGAATTCTAATTATTAAAATTTATCTATGAAATTTTCCTAGCAAAAAAAAAAAATAAATTGAACAATTAAATTTTGCAAATAATTTAATCTAAAAATTTAATATCATGTAATAAACTTTTTTTTTACGTCACACTACTATTAAAAATACATTAGACATTTTTTAAATCTTCTATTTAGTATTATGGAACATATGAAACTTATTTTTTTATCAATAACTACATATAAGATAATACTATAGAACATAAATATCACTTAGTTTATATATCTTATTATCTAGTAATTATATTTAACAACTAGGGGACAACTTGATTGAATTGTTCCCTTTTTCTACTCATAACTACTTTTCAGGTACTCATATTTAAATTATTAATTAAAGAATAAAAAAAAATATTACCAAAATTCTTTAAAATAATTGATAAAGCATATAATAGTTTTGTATTATACCAACATGAGCTAGTTCAGTTTGAAAATTTACAGCATGAATATTCTTCTGGCAGATTCTAAAAACTTAATGTTTACATAATAATTTAATAATTTTACTTGTAAAAATGTAGTAGTAAATACTCCAAGACCAATCAATAAGAAGTAATAAGAAAAATTTTTCATAGAATCATAGAACTCTTCAGAGTTAAATGAACCAACATCAACAGATATATTTGGTTGTATAAAGTCTTTAATATTTGACCTAGAAGAAAATTATATTTTTATAAATGGAATTAAAAATTGATAAGAGAACAAAAAAAATGAATTAATAATACACTAATAATAGTTACTCTAAGTTCATCACTGAAGAATTTATGGTAGATGTTAGTTTTTCAATTTTTGACATAAAAAATGGATCATAAGAAAAGTTTTGTTCATTAGGTAGTGAAAAATTTTCATCATATAATGGGATAGAATTTGATACATTTAAGTTAATTATCTGTATTCTATCTAAATTAACAGGTGAAGGCAAGTAAGAAAATGAAAAATTCTTTGATTGATTTAAACTCTAAAAAATAAAATTCTATAAGACATAATAATATTGACTTTAAGATAATTTTAGAGCAGTACTGTTTTTCACATTAAACTCAACAAGCTTATGCATACTTTATCAGTGATGGCTCGTGGGTACTGGGGGTGCAACTTTAAATATAATACCGCTAGTTATAGGTATAAAAAATTGTCCAATTAAATATAATAAAATAAAACACAATACACATATTATTTTAAAAGTCTATTTAAGGCAACCGATAACGACGTGCACAATACACGTAGTTAATTTTAAAAATAAATTACTCAATATAGTAATATACTAATATTTTACTGTATGGACGACGCTGCCGGTTGTTCAAGACCCGTACATAAGATAGCAGCTTAACCGTACCCACACGCACACGATTGGGCACCTCGTTTATAATATACTTTTCAAAATATTGTTCTGACGACGCTGTCGGTTGTCCAAACACTGCTCGTGTGAGCATGCGTAACCGTATATACTAAGTGAAATAACTTCAATGTTGGCAGATGACAAATGTATTATAACTATTTTACTATTTAAAAATTTGCATTTTTAACAAAAATGTAGAATTAAGAATTATACATTAGTTTTAGTAAGGGGGGGGGCGATCGTCCCGTCATTCAAGCCACGAGACGCCACTATACTTCATAATAATAAAAATATTATGATGATGTTTAATTTTTAGAAAATTAAGTTACTTTTATTTAGAAAAAATGTCATTTAATTAAAAAACCATTAAATGCAGTATTGCTTGAAATTTATTAATATGTTTTAAATACCAAAGATTGTTTAATAAATGCGTTAGTCATTTGGCCAAAGACTAAAGCTAGAATTGGAAAACTTGATCCATGAATGATAGCAAATATGAGACCAATGAACATAAATATAACATCTCTAATACTAGCATATCGAAACTGAAAGTAATTAATAGTATGTTTTTCAAATTATTAAATAATGATAGCTTACACTAAAATTTAAATATATTAATATTTTAATGTAAGAACTATTAGGCTCTTACTCAAGTTTATTTTCCGGTGGTGACTCAAAATTCATTAGATAAATAAAATTATGAAATATTTAACAGTAACTGAACAAAAGTATAAGACTGAGGGTGTGTTGCAGGTCATTAACATTTTTATATTTTTTGTCTGCACTCTTCTTGTCTACATATAAAAATTCTCTTAACATCTGAAATGATGGATCAAAAGCTGTATTGACCCATCATTTTCATAAATTATATCTTTATATTTAAAAGATTTTTAATTTTACTTGAGTTATTTTACATATCGAATATTTTTTGAAAAGCCTAAGAGTTCTAAAAACTCTAAATAAAGATTACATTAATAATTATTGTTTAGATAAACCATATAAATGATTGGTAAGTATAGAGAACATAATATTAAGTTTTCTTTTCAAAAAACAAGCTATTCATTCAATTACAATTAAACTCATCCTTTTACAGTTGTTTTTACAATTATGGGCAATTATGTAAAATAATTTAAAAATAATAAAAACTATGAATAATAATCAATTTCTATTTTTTAATTTAAATGTGATCATCAAATATTTTTAAATCATTATTAGTAATGCTTTTGCAAAACAAAAACATTTTCTTATTTTAAGATATATGCTGATTTGTAAGCCTATCTCTGTGGATAGGAATTAAGAATACTTCCATGGCCCCTCTGCCAGTCGTAAAAGGCAACTAATGAGGTTGCGTCTGGTCGACAGCTGGCGTAAAAATTATTGTCATAAAAGTATGAGGAATCCTGAACAAAACTTGGGCGGATGGTCCCATTTTGGATGTACGCGGGGACAACAGAAAGTAGTTATAAATGGAGAATAAGGAATAAAGGGTTCGATACCAGCCAGACAACTTGTGCAGTAGCTGTTTCACCAGTCATGTGTACAGTTCTACCCAGCGCTTGTAGTGTCAACGGTGTAGGGACATCACCACTTAACTCTAGGCTGGACTCGTGTATGAGGGAGGAAAAAAAGATAGATATAAAGTAAGAATAGGTACTTGGAATGTTGGAACATTAACTGGTAGAAGTAGGGAATTAGTAGAAGTATTGAAGAGGAGAAAAGTTAACATCTGTTGTGCAGGAAACTAAGTGGAAAGAAGAGAAATAGGTGAGGGTTATAAAATAATATACTCAGGTAAGTCTAGTACAAAGAATGTTGTAGGGATAATAATGGATGAGGAGATGAAAAGTAGAGTAGTAGAAGTAGTAGAAGTAGTTAGAAAAAGTGATAAGATTATGGTCGTGAAATTGATATTCGAAAAAAAAGTGCTCAATGTAATAAGTGCCTATGAACCACAAGTAGGATGTGATGAAATAGACAAGGAAGTGTTTTGGAGAAAGATGGATGAGGTGATGCAAGGGGTATCTGGCAATGAGGATGCGGTGATAGGTGGAGATATGAATGGACATGTAGGTAATGAGAGGAGAGTATATGAAAGAGTACATAAAGGGTATGATTTTAGTGGGAAGAATGTGGCTGGAGAAAGAATCCTGGATTTCGCAGTATCATATGATCTTGCTGTGGTTAATACTTATTTTAGAAAGAGGGAAGAACATTATACAACGTATAAGAGTGGGAGGAATAGATCACAGATTGATTATTTTATGTGGAAGAGAGAGCGTAAAGCGAGTAAAAGATTATAAAGTTATTCCTTGCGAGAGTGTAACTACACAGCATAGACTGATGGTAATGGAGTTTTGGTGTACTGGTAAAAGAATATACAAAAACAGAAGGAACACGGGAGAAAAATTGAATATCCGTTGGTGGAAATTGAAAGGGGAAAATGAAAAAGAGTTTGTCAAGACGGTAAAAGAGAGGACAGTGTGGAATGACGAAGAAGACATAAATGATGAGTGGAATAAATTTGCTTGTTGTGTTAAGAATATTGCAAAGGAGATTGTTAGTGAGAGTAGGAGTAGAATGTCAGGAAACAAGGAAACCTAGTGGTGGGATTAGGACGTTCAAAAAATCATAGAATGTAAAAAAAAGCAATTCAAAATATGACAGAAGAGCAAAAGGAGAGAAGATTGGATGGAGTATAAACACTTAGTTTAGGGAAAAAAAGAAAAAGCTTTGTATGGTATTAATAGATTTGAAGAAAGCGTATGATAGAGTACCGAGAAATGTTTTAAAGTGGGCATTAATGAGAAAAGGAGTCCCGAAAAAGGTACATTAATATAATAGAAGATATGTATGAAGGTTTTCGGGTAAGAGTAGGAGTGCATCGGGGTTCTGCTATAAGCTCTTACTTTTTTTCTATAGTGATGGATGAAATTACTAGAGAAATACAAGGAGAGGTGCCGTGGTGCATGTTTGCTGACGATATATAGTGTTAATAGGAGAAAATAGGGAGGAAATTAATCAAAAGCTAGAGGTGTGGAGATCAGCTCTTGAAGAATAGGGTTTAAGAATAAGTAGGAGTAAGACAGAATATATAGAGCAGGAGTTTGATAAAGGAGAACACGAGGTAGGTGAAATAAGGAGACCAATGACAATAGGCGAGGACGTGATTGGAGAAGTGGAAAGTTTTAAGTATTTAGGGACTGACGTCTTATGCGATAAAAGAATTCCAATGAGGCTAAAAGGTAAATTTAACAAGACTGTAATGAGGCCATCTATGATGTATGGTTTATAATATTATAATATTTATAATATATATTAACGTAATAACTTTTTTTTAATCTCTTGAATACTTTCTTATATTTTTTTAGAAGTCCAAATTAAATTTAAAATAATTTAAAATGTCTAAAACTTGACATTAATTTGTTTTATTTATTATTTCTAGTATTATGCCTTGGAAAGGTTCAATATGAAAAATTTTATATTTTTCTACTAGCTATATCACCAAAACAGTAAATATCATTGATTAATTAGCAAAATTTTTAAAAAAGTAATATTTCAAAATTATTAAAATAATTAGTATTTTTTAAATTAATTGACAAAGAAAAAATACTCACCAAATGTTTATAAGTTGATCTTATATGTATCTGATTTTTAATTGTCCTAAAAAATGTAATGTTATAAGAATTTCATCTAAATTCAAGTGATAACAGTATCTAACATTATTTAAAAGAGTAACGTTAAAGTTGTAAAGTAAATGAAGAAATTCTGAGAATTTTTCAATAATAAAACTTAATACAAAAATTTAACATGGCTTTATAAGTTTTCTCTTGGATAATAGTTCTTATATTCAAATTTACAGAGAATATTTTTACTGTGTTCAAGCCAAATAGTCAAAAAAATAATTCAGTAATCTTTTTTGAAAATTATCATGTCAGAACATTTTATTTTAATAACTGATTTTAATGTAGTTCAAAAGGAAAAAACAACACTAATTGCATTAGAATCAAACCCTATTATTTATTGATGCATAAGCATTCTCAAATAATTTTTGTAGTGCTAAATGATTTTTACTTCAAATTAATAAAGTGAAATTTATTACTCTCGGTAACTTAACTACAGTAGATGCATTTAAGCACCTTGAGTTTACCAAATAATCATGCTCAATATAATAAGTAAACTTATATTAATAGCCTTAGACTTAATTATATGTATTTTCTCAAATAGAATCTAATATATCCATCAAATAATCTCTAGATCTATTTTTTCCGAGCATATCTTAAAACAGTATTTAAGAACTATGGTCCACTTTACATGTATAACTAATCACTTACAGACAGTCACTAGAACTTTTAAAATAAACTAGATTTCGGTAAAGATTCGATTGAAACAATAAAAAATTGTTAGGGTTACTTTGTAATTAGTTTCAATATTTACAAAAAAATGTTTGTTTTTTTTCTTGACCGTCTGTGACATAAGCAAAAGCCTCATACATTCTATAATGTGTTCCGGTTCATAATGGTACGATTTCAGTAGTCATGAATATTTAGTAGAACATCTTATCAGTACTTTATATTTTGATAAGGTTTAAAAAGGTTACTGAATTTTACATTAGATAACCTTTGCATTTAAATTTCATTCCGCTTAATTAATAGTTTCTATTAGATCTTTATTTTCGTAACTATTTAAAACACTAATAAAATAATTATAGAATACTTTTTAAACAATCGTAAGTTGCATAAAAAAAAACAAAATTATGATGAAATTTTTCATTACACTAAATTTGTTAAGAAAACTAACCCGTATTTAGTATAACCATATGCATTTGAATCCCTAGTTTTAGAAAAATTGTTTAACAATCCTGTGGATTCTTCGCTTTTTTTACAAATCGCCATAAAGTCCAATGTTAAAATCAATAAGAAAATGTTGAAGTAAATTCTAATTAAAAGTGTTAAATTATATTCCACTAGAAATAAATTAATATTTAAATACTAACGGATATCATCATTACATATTGTTCGGCATAATAAACCGTCGTACCTGTCAACTTAAGTAACTGATCACGAATGTTCACAGAAACAGGATTCACACGTTTCTAACAACCAGATTCATTTACCACCTCTTCTTTACGATATTTTGCCTCGAATAAACAAATGGACACATATCTAACCAATAATTTTTATAACTTTTGATTCAGTTATAATTTTTTTTTACAATTTTTACATTCATATAATATTATATAAATGGAATATTTATTATTAATAATAAAATTTGTTCAAAATTTTAAAACAGTCAATGTTTTAGAGATTTTCTTACAAGGAAATTTGATAGGTCGATAACAATTTTAGGAAAAGTACTTATTGAGATATAAACATTTTAATACATAGAGTGGATATGTAGCCTGCGTGGAGTATGCTTTAAAAATATATAGCAATACGAGGTATCCGATCAATTCATCGCGATTATAAATTAACTAGAAAATATAAATTGAGGGATATAAATAAAATCCTCTGTCTCCAAGAGAGGAAATCAGAGGCAATGGTGGGCATTAACTACTCGAAAAATTAAAGATAATTATTTTTCTAATAAACTTTATAATTTGACTATTTTAATTTTCCGTTGAAATAACTTAACTTTTTTTAGTTAATTAGTTAAAATAACAGTCAAGTTAAAAATATTTCACAAAAACTGTATGTCTTTATACGCTTTATACCTGATTCAATTAAAAAAAAAATTAAATTTTCACCTAATCCAAATATATTTATATAACAATAAATATAATTTTCTGAATTTTTTGAAAAATGTATGTGATTATTAATTGATTATTTTTTTTAATAACTAGTTTTAAAGATAAAACAGTGAAACCAAAATCAAAACGAATAAAAAAAATTATTAAGTTATTAATATTTTCTTCCTATTCAGTTTTAAAAGTTTAAAAGTATTCTTAGCTCTCCCGTGCATTACCGACCAATAAAAAATAATTTTGAGAAATTTTAGTCAAAAAATTAATTTTAAATAAAATTAACTCTTTTTAAACTACCTAAATTAAAAAAATTTCATCTTAACCTTTAACCAAGTTATATTTAAAATTTGATAACTTTTAACAGTTAATTTATTGACATTGTTCATATTTAATTTAACTTAACCTGAGTTAATAATTCCACTATATTCCACACCTTTGCCCTATATATTATATATCGGATAAATATCAATGTTTGGGAAGGATCTAGATCCCTGGACTCCCCCCACAAATCCACTAATGTTTGTAAAATTTCTAGTCTTTTAAAAATTAGCTCTTCATATAATAAGTGGATTTAAAAAAAAATATATAATTTTGTTTTTGATTTATTGTATAAATCGATGGTTCATAATTTATAATTAAAAAAATATATGGGTGGGGTACTTGATCCAAATTATAAATTTCCTTTAAGTACCAAGAGAAACTTAGAATTTAAAATAAAGTAAACGTATGATTTCCGTTGGCTTGTTACTCAAAGATATAAGACTATGCTTTATGTTTCACATGTATTTTGTTACCAAATAATGATGTTATAATTCAAAAATAAAACGAATAATTAATATAAATTTATAATAAAAAAAAAAAATATTTTTAAATATTATATCATCAATTAACATTTTAATAAATTAATGTATAAAATATTAGAGATATTTAAATATTTAGTCGTCTGTTAAAAATTTGATTTTATGATTTATTTTTCAGAAGGAACATTAGTGGGGGAATGAGAAGATCACACTCCCCAAATCTTTAAGTCATTCGTGGTCCGTATTTCTAAAATATATTGTGAACTTTTTTTACTCTTTGAGGTAATTCATTTAGTTGGCATAATTAAAACTAATACAATGTACTTTAACATGAAAAAAAAACTACTCAAATTTCCATTTCTAGTTGTTATTGGGTATTAAAGCCAAAAATTATACAATTTTCAATAAAAAATTATGATTTTAAAGTATTTTACACAGCAACTAATAGATCGCTATTTAGGGGTTGAGCCCAAATTTCCTTCAACAGTATTCTGAGAGATCAACGGGGGATAGCTGACTAGGCAATATCTCTCTTAGGTATTGAGGTTACCTATTTAATTAATTTACCTTTAGAGGAATTACCAAGGGTCGCACTACAATAATGTATAACAATTTTGATTATGCAACGATATAATAGTACATTAAGGAAGCTAAAAAGTAAATAAACAATAAAACCTGCTGAACATCTAGAGGTGATATTAATCCAACAGGGAGCTGTCAGAGACACACACAAACACACACTAATATGATGGTAGCTAAATTAAGTTAATGTCTTAGACAATAAGATGGTAAATGTCAAATGGCGTTTGGGATATTCGTATTATACACGATGGTCATGAATCCCAAACGTGTTTATGTGTACAATCTTCCCTACTGTAGTAGTATGTGTGTCACTATGTCAATATTATAAGCCTAAACGGCAGTATAATGATATTGTGAGATATGATCACTTATAATGTGATCGTATCAAAACGAAACTTCTACATCATTTTTAACTCAATTTTAAGATTATTTTTGTATACTACACAATTAAAAAAATGATAAAATAAAATTTATTTTCTGATTACACTCTATATGTTTATTAATTTTCCAAGAAGTTCAATTCTGATTAAAACTAAATTTTTGAAATTTTGATGAAAGTTATTATTAGAAATGTAAAACATAAATCCAAAAGCCTCATAATTTCAAATAAAAATTTTTTGAGTACTGCTTAATTCGTTTTGGGTGGCTATATAAAACTCAAGACAGTTAACTTGATAAAAACTGAATTTATGCAAGGTTATTGTCGTTTTAGCTCACTATGAATGGAACCATAGATTAAATACACATGTGTATTTAATCTATGATGGAACCAACCAACCATTTTATTTACAACCATGGTATATACAGAGGTTATCTTTGATGTTATATTGTTATCTTTGAAATTTATTCCGTTAAAATCAGAAGTACATTGTAAATAAGTACTTTTAAATAAACCAATCGTAGATCAGTCTTGAATGTAATCGATCGAATTGTTTTATGAATCACGATTTTTGGTTACAATAGTATTCGTTATTTAATACGTTCTGTAAATCTTATGTCGATGTTATTTGTTGTAATTTATTATAAATAAAATTTTGATATCCGAATTAGTGGCTCAATTTTTTTAGTGTAAACATAGTAGAAATAATAAAAGTTTTATGATATCTTAATTATTTTCAAATCATATTCGAACTTACCGTAATTACGTAATTTAAAAATTATAATGGCTCAAAACGTTAATCCTAGGCTTGAAAGTGGACCATCAGATTCTCCTAAGAAAAGTGAAGATATGAGCGACAAAATTGAATCTAATAAAGTTGTTCAAAGGTATTTAAAAACATTTATATTTACTTGAATAATAGTATTTCATTCTTTTCTAAACAAAATACTACTTTTTTCAATTCATAAAATAATCTACGCGAGGTCGAATTGAATATCAATTATTAAGTGGTTACAGAGTTATAACTATTAAAAATCTCATTAATTTTGTTAAACTTTATATGTACCATAGTATCGATAATATCTATTCTACTTTATTGTGGAACTCTTAATTAAAAACTTTAAGATTTCAAGAGACTTTAAAATAATTCTTTACTTTTTCTATGAAAATATAAGAATGAGTCATAGTAAGTATTGTTTTATGTTGGCTTACTCCTGAAAATTAATATGTTTTTATAAAGATCAACCTAAAACATGAATGAAAAAATAAATATTTAGGGTAGGCATGTATTTAAGAATTACTTGTTTACAGATGTATCCACGGTTTCAGTTTTGAGCTGACATTTCGGACTTTGCAATGAATCTGAAATGTCAGCTCAAACTGAAAATGTGAATACATCCGTAATTATTTCAAACAATATAACAATCCACGAAAGCTTCAATACTTTCATATTTAAGAGATTCTTTTTAGGAAGAAGATTAAAGTTTACAATTTTATAGTAAAATAAAAGCATTCCAAATTTTTTTATTATATATAATTCTTAATTTTACTTTACATTTATAAATGATTTTTTAATGGTTATTACTGTGTTGATCACACAAATTGTTGGCATTTCTATTTTTTACATTAAATAATATAAAATATATGAATTTCTAGTAAAAATAACCAGTTAGTACATCATATTTATCAAATCTAAAAGTGGTTACAAAAAATATTTTTTGTATAAATCAACATTTTTAATGGGTTCCTTCAAATTTGAGTTAAAGATGTTCACCTATATATGGTGTCCCATGGTGATTTGATAAATATAATTTTTGATCCACTGAATATTTTTTGTTACTCTCTGTTTTAAAATCTTATTAGAGTTTAAAATTAAAATGATATCAAGAATATAAAAATTAACTATTTATTTTATTAAGTATTATTAAATACTAATTTTACTACTAGTTTTTTTTTTAATTAAAAATACTACCACAAATATATAAAAAAAAAAATCAAAATTTCCATTTTATCGAATAAATTTTAATAATAATTTAGTAGTTAAAAAATTTTAATTTTTCTTGTTTATATTATGATATCAAACGTTAGTCTATGTTCATTAAAGAAGTATAAAAGTAACACAATTTTTACAAACTTAGTAGATATAGGTATATGATTTTGTATATAAAAATTTATATTTATATGATATTATATTCATAAGCTCTAATAAGTTTTTTTTAAAAAAAGCAATGAAAAATGTTCAGTGGATCAAAAATTATAGAAATTGTCAAATTATGGTGTCCCACCATAAATAGGCGAACATCTTTTACTCAAATTTGAAGGGATTCATTAAAAACTTTGAATTATCCATAACAAATTTTTTGGAACCACTTTTAGATTTAATAACTATGATGTACTAACTTGTTATTTTCACTAGAAATTTATGTTTTTATACCATTTAATAAAGAATTTTTAGTAATTTATATTTGTGAAAATATGATGGGACACTATATTTCAAAAAATTTAAAAACTACAATAAATTTTTAAAAAGCATATCTTTATTTTTTATATTGTTGTAAGTCACATGGTAATAAAAATTTTAGCAATAAAAAGTTTTTCAACCTCAATTTATTAAAAAAAAAAAAAATGTTAAGGGGGGTTACTTGATACTTTTTATACAATGGCAACAATTGTTTATTTGTGATATGAGTGAACATAAATATTTATATTAAAAATTGAATAGATACATTTTGATAAACAAAATTAAATAAAAATTTTTTTAGCTTGAAACATGAAAAGTAATTTTTATTTTTATTTCTTTTAGATTGCAAAAAGAACTCATGAGCCTAATGGTAATTATGCATTTATTATATTTTATAGGAATCTGTTTCTTTCACTTTCAACCAAGAGTGGTTATGTGGTGTCAAACCAACGTTTGACACTATATAACCACTTGAACTGGTGTAGTTAAAGGGAAAGAATTAAGTACATTAGAAACATGGTACTTGTTACCACTGAAAAAACTCTTGTGTGGTCACCAATTTAAGAGCTCATAGCGATAGTCTCAGTTTGCACTAGAGCTTATCAGCGGCTAGTATGTCCAAAAAAAAAAAAAAGAAATGTAATTTTATAACAAAAATTAGTTAAAATTTAAATTATTTTAGTATTTTATTAGCTGGTATAGCAAAAAACTTGTCTTCGTGCTAGTTTTTGTTAAAAAAATAATGGGTTCAACATAATGTTTGGCCTTGTGCCAACTATAAACAATGGAAGAAATTTTTCGCCGATAAGCCCTAGAGTTATTTATTTCAATTCTGTTTTAGTTAATACAGAGTGATAAATTTAGTATAAATCATTTAATTACTCTCAAAATAAATACAAAATTAAAAAAAAAATTGATTTCTTTTAGTTGTGTATATTTCCTGATTTATTAATAATTACAGTTTATCCCTTATAACTTAAAATGGTGTCAACTAAATTATTTGAAATGGCAACGTATATATTTAACTGACTTATATAATAGAAAATGACTAATCAATAACAACTTATGGAAGTTATTCTCATTTTTATACCTAGAAGGGAGGAAGAATATGATCGGGAAATGACTAGTGATAAAAACAACAGCAACCACTCCTCACCTTAAGTTATTAATTTAAATTCTTAATAACATCCAAAATATATATGTTACTAAAAGAAATGAGAAATTTTTTTCCAATATTGTATTTATTTTGAGAAAAATGAAGTGGTTTATTATGATGAACCAATCATTCTGTAGATTAGTTCAATTTTTTCAAATAATACAATTAAATTTTAATATTTCCTCTTTAAAATTGTAAAATAAATTTGAAAAACTTCAATTATAAAAATAGATTTATATTTTTTAGTAAAATTTTGCATGGTATGTCTAAAACCAAATAGTCTTTTAATCTATTATACAAACTCTATTATTGAGTAATAATAAAAATATGTTTTTATATTTTAGATGTCTTGTGATCAATCTGTATCTGCCTTTCCTGATGGAGATAATCTTTTTCGATGGGTTGCTACTATTATTGGACCTAAAGATACAGTAAGAATTTTTTTATATGTATATGAAGTAATATGTTTTAATTAAATTTTTATTTTAGGCATATGAAAATTTGAAATACAAATTAAATATGGAATTTCCACGTGGTTATCCTTATAAACCTCCTACTGTAACCTTTGTTACTCCTTGCTTCCATCCTAATGTTGATTTTGACAGTGGTGCTATATGTTTAGACATTTTAAAAGATAAATGGTCTGCTATGTATGATGTAAAAGCTATTCTTATATCTTTACAATCACTTTTAGGGGGTGAGTAAATTAAAATGATAATAACATCTTGCAAAATTATAATTGTTGTTGCATAATTTTTTTAGAACCAAATATTGACAGTCCTTTAAATGTTAAAGCAGCTCAAATGTGGCCTAGACAAGAAGTTTTTAAAGCAACATTATTAAGCACTTACAAAGAGTTTGAAACAAATTAATTCTTTATATGAGTGTAATATAGTGTCAAATAATAGTATTTTTTTCACTTTTAAGTATAATTCCAAAAAAATAGTCTATTTATTTATATTTGTTTATTGAGAAGTTTATCATTTAAAATGAATTAATAGACATCAGAAAAATATATTTTCTGTATTATGTATAACAAACATTTTAAGTAAATTTTGTATTTTTGATGTATTATTTACCTTTATTTTGCATAATTTTATATTAAGAATCAATTGAGAGTTTACTTTTACACATCCTATGTGATTAACTTTCATCTCAAAACAAAAAAATGATTCAAATCAATTTTTTAAGATTATATAATAACCAAAAAATATCTTTGAGTCAATTTATTCAATAATTTGTTTACCCAAATGTAATATAAAAAGAAAAGTAACATATTAAGTTATATATCAATAAAAATTAAAAAACTTTATATACATAACAAGATTTAAAATATAATATTATGAAGCAATGTAATATTAAAAATAATATAAAATCTACATTGAATATTAATTTTTTGAAATAAAATTTAAAATAATTGAAGTGGTTTAACTCTAAATTAAATAAATATGAAATACGAATATTAATAAAAAATGATAATTAAATTTATCAAATAAAATGCTATTTTTCATCTTCTTATGTCAGAAAACGTAAAAAAATATAAATTTTTCTGTTGCAAATTATTTGACTAGAAAAAGTTTATATTTAAATGAAAAGCAAATGATTCTATGCAAATCTACAGTGTTCAATTTTAGTTGTTGGATTGAATAATAGCATACTAAAAACACTTGAGTAGAAAGTTTTATGTTTTATCAATTTGAAAATTGGTATTTTTTTTTGTAAGTATTACATAACTTTATTAAATGAGGAAAAATACGTGCATTTTTGGCAATTTAAAAAAAATAACTCATTCAACCCATACTGCGTCAGAAATTATCAGATTCCACTATTATGATATATTTATAAGTTAAAAATTTAATACTTTGTATATTTGATCTCCAAGTTTTTTTCTAAGTATGACAGAAATTGAAACATCATGTTTTTGCACGTATATTAGAGTAATATCAAAAAAATTAAACTTGTTACATGGTTATCATGTTATATCTCAATAAAAAACAAAATTATTATGTATTTAAAATTCACCGTTCAATACAAAATTAAACGGTCTACAAAATAGATATCTTGTAATTTTTAACCTAAATATAACAGAACTTGAGTAATTGTGAAGAAATAATTTTTTATATGAAATTCTAGGATTATTACATTCTAAATAATTCTAGTCAGTTAGATGTTATCAACATTTGTTCAACAACAACTCGAAGATATTTTCATAATTTCACCAACTAGTTAAATTATCATCGACTTATAATTAAAATTAAATCATCTTATAATAATGTTATAGGTAGTATTACTACTTTAATTGCAGGCGTTTATTCAAGCATAGATAATTAGTATAGAAAAAATTATATACATTTCAAGAAAGATTTCGTTTGTATCGTTTCCTGGATATATATATATCAATGTTTTACAACGAAAAATTTTCCAAACTTTAAAATGTTACAGATAATTTATTACTGAACATTAATAAGATATTTTTTTTCGAAAATATACACTACATAATAACTATATTTATTAATAATTTAATTCATAAATTAAAATAAAATATTTTGTAATGAATTAATGAACTATTATTTACTATAAAGTTTTTATAGTTTCAATGTATAAAAATAATTAAAAAAAAATAACGCAAAATATTAACTGGAAAAAAAGTTATTTAAGTTATCAAACTTGCAGGTGAAACCACTTTGTACATAGGTTATAAATGCAGTATTATCATTGATTATTAATATTAATAATTGTTTTATTTATATTATTGTTATTATAAATAATATTTATAATCAATGGTATTATATGTAAGAGAAATCTTATAAAAGCCAAAAAACAAGTAAACATGTTTTTTAATGAGACTTCAATAAAAACACTATTGTTATCGGTTTACGTTTCATACAAATTTGTTATTTACAGTGTTACTTTGAACTTTCAAATTATTTTTCGTTCAAGTAATGCTACTAAAATTCCAATTCATAAAATAAATTAACAATTTGTCTGTCATTTACGGCAAGACCTGTATACAATTACTATGATTTGCGTCACATTGATGAATATAATGAACATAAGCGTTTCATAATGTATTGCTTCATTAGACAACAAATATTGATACGTTTATTTCGTTGTCTGCAACTTTAGTTTTAATCTAACAGTTCAGTACGTAAAAAATAATATATAATATTATGCCATACATTTTTATTAATGTTTGTTTTTAAAGAGCTATTTAATTTTTTAAATCAGTCTCCTTAAAACTTTGGATGCAATATGTAACGGCTTAGGATTTTATAACTATAGTAGTTAAAAGAAGAGAACAGAAAAAATAAAAGTATATCGCTTCAAAATAGCAACTTTTGCGCAAAAATTTTAATTTTTCAGCTTAAGTTTTAAAATGTCCGGAAATACTCCGAGCATCAAACATATGTTAAAATAAAGATAATGTTATGCACTATAAGTTAAAAAAAAATTTTTCTTGACGACTTATCTTCTATGTGCAAATGGTTGCCGCAGTTAAAAAACATGCAATTTTGGTGTTAAAATTTACGATTTCGGATTTTATTTTTTCCATTTTAAATTACTATAACTTTTCGAAAAATGTATGGATCAATACAATTATTTTTTTATAAATACTTTATGTTTACTTATTTCATTTGATATACATTTTTTGAAAATCTGACTATTGACCTGACCACAGGGGGAATTCAAAATAACAATTTTTTACACAGAAGTAAAAATTTTTCTACTCAATTTTTGAAAATTTTCCGGAAATATTGACACTTTTATTTAATCTTAAATTAAAGCTTATGTAATATACTATACTATGAAAAAAAATTCGAGATATAGTGAACATGGTTATTATATTCAAAAATATGCTATTTTTGTGTTAAAATTATCGGTATTGTATTTTAATATACCTTATAATGGGGTACACTGATATTCATGAATATTATATAAAACTAATTGACATAGAATATAAAGTTAAACTTATTTCAATTTTTTTTTCTGTTAAGTCAAAAAAATTAATTTTAACATTTGAATCAGCTTAAATTGCCAATTTGATCAAAAAACGAATTTCGACGAACGTTTGTCGATTCAGTAAAAATCATTGCCCGTGGCAAATGGTAAAATTAGCAAAAATTGACTTGTAAAGGCCTCTTGGAAGCACTTGTCTCTAGAGTCTCATTACATTTTAACATTCATATAGGAAAGGAGATTTTAGAACGGATCCTCGGTCTGGGTAAATATCCTGGAGTATTCGTCCAAGAACAGGGAGACCTCTAAATTACGCAACGTACCTTGGTGAATCATTGGAAATTAGTAAATTAATGCATTTAGACTTTTTGGCGTCGATGACACCACGAATAAATGAATGAAGGACGCATTGAAATAAACGATATGGTTGTTATTAAAGATTCCCAATTACCTTCCTTAAATAGGTTAATGATCCGTAGCCTTTGAAGTGAATAAAGGTGATGATGTTCTGTGAGTGGTGCGTCTTAAAACAGTCACAGGAACTTTAACCCAATCCATGGTCAAACTAAGTAAAGCTACCCATGGTTTAAGTAACTTTATATTTTATTTATCGTCATATATAGTGCAAAATAATTTGTAATGCATCGTTGTTGTGGATATTTTTTGTCATAATTGTCTTATTATATTTTTAATTTATTATCATTATTAATTTTCTATTATTAGTTATTCTATTATATAATAAGATTATTCTTTTTTATGTATGTACTCTTTTATAAATATTAGATTTTGTTTTGTATCTTTTTTATTTTAAGTTCATTATTTGTTGCTTCGACATCGTTACCATATCAAACATCATCCCCTAAACTCCTATAAAAGTTGCTGTTGTATTAGGTTCTATGTTGGCGTCGATATCTAAGACTTCAAATTTTACTCCAGTTCAATCTTGCTTCGTGGTCACATGAACTTCGATGACCAAAAGTTAATATATCATAAGGCTGTAAGACTGTAGGTCAGCGATGTCGGCCGAATCCGTGGATTGGACTAGGTCATATAATTTTATTTTTATCTTTTGATTAGTTACAATTATTTACGTTTGTACGTAAGGACGCCCAGTTTAAATTTCAGGTTTTTATATTACAATTATTTATATTATATAAATTTGAGAAATTTGTAATTTAATTTTAGTTCCAAAAAAAGTAGTTTACTCAAAACTTGAAATTTTTGATATTTTGAAATATAAAAGAAAATAATATTTTCTGTTATACTTAGAGAACTTTACAATCTTATAAATATATTTAATTTTCTAGTAAAAAGTGTATACAATTTTGTTGTTAAATTTGTAATCAATTTTTAAATTAAAAAATGTATACATAGTCAATAAGACAAAACTAGTGTAAGCATTTAGTTATTAAGAAAGTAAGAATGTCAGTATGTTATTGAAAAAAAAAAATATTATAAGTATATAAATGTGTTAACCATTTTACCTATTTAAGGAATTAAAAACTCAATTTTTAGATGAAGTTATAAGCTTAAATACTTCATAATTGAATTATTGTCTTTAAGTAAAACAAATTAATCAGTTAAATATTTATCTTTCATTGAAACAAATAAATTTTGAATTTTAATTGTACTATACACAGGGACTTTAGAAGTTTTAGCATTTACATAGTCACTGGATAGTGGGCTAAAATCAAGGTAATGATTTTTACAGATAAGCTATAAGGGCGGCGGGCGTACAATTCTTTACAAGGACATTTTTGTTACAACACGATAATCCATTGTATAGGTGGATGATTTTATTGCACGCCACACTCTAATCATGCGTCGAATAGATAGTAATTTGATCGCACGATGTCAGGTTCGCTATTTGCCGAGTACAAAACAGTGCGGTATTCGCCGGACCCAAGACGTTAATAGTTACAACTGTTTTGTTGATAACTCAGCGAGAAAGATTACTATATAATATTTATTATGATTTATGACGAAACTTTATTTTACTGTTACTAAAGCCAAGTGAGCAACATGTGCTTTCTAGATATATTAAATCAAAATGCTATGTAGTACTTGATCTACAGTACTTTTTTGTATTAATTCTATATAAAAGGTATTTTTATCTATAATTGATTTTTTTGAAATTATTAAAGTAAAAATTTAATATTTTAGATTAACTGTGTCGTTGAATTTTTAAAATATATTTAAAAAAAATGGATTCTATTCAAGCAACAGTTTTAAACGGACACTTGCCAAGTATGTCAAATTAAATTTTACAATTAATAAATTAAGTTTTGTCAAAAAATACATTTTCGTTAGAAGTTATGTTTTTTGTTTTTAATTGACCAGTGTAACAAATGAATATTTTTATCCTAGACCATATACATTTCAAATAAATTATTGTGTTCAATTAAACTTTATTGAATGTAACCAAAAACTGTAAAATTGTTTTAACTTCATTAATTTAAAAAAACTAATATGATTATCTGGGTAACTTTTAATAATTAAATTTTTTCTTTTTAAATGAGGATGCAACAACATGGGCTGTAACTAAAACTTTTTTTTCCATAATTTTAAATATATACATTTTACTATTTTTTAATTTTTCTAGTATTTTTTCTGTAATTAAAAGTTATCTCAAACTCAATACTATAATTAATCAATTAATATAATATTTAGCTGAACACAGTTTCTATTATTCTTAGTTTTATTCCATTCAAATGATTTAAGCTTTACATATTCTCAAGAGTAAAGATAATTTCAAAATTAGGTGAATTCTTAAAATAAATTTTACATATGTATATTTTGTAATTTTAATTTAAAATGTTCAAATTGGGTTTTAAAAATATAAATGGACATTGTATTTTGAAGTAAGGTTATGGTTTTTTAAAAAATATTTACTACAGAATTTAAAGTTAGTACCAAATGAAATTTTTTAGGTTTTTTGTTAATATCACTTGTGTTATTAATCAAGGTTATTACTGATATACTTGTTTTTATAGAGCTTCTGTGGTACCAATTAATACATATAGTTTAGTGTTCTACTTGGTGTACCCTTTAAAGAATAAATATTTTGTTATAAAGTGCAAGTATATATATTTAATACTTTCATTCATTATTAATACTATTGATTTAGTGAATATTTATGACAAAGAAATTATGTGATTAACAATATTTAGAAATAGATGGAATCTTATCCTTATTCTATTAAAATATTTAAGTTGTTAAAGTGTCTTTGTTATTAAATTATGCAGTAATTAAGTTATAAACTCTCTTAAAAGAACCAATGAAATCTAATACTTTTTATGGTTTTAATTATTCAGATGGACACGAAAAAATGGAAAAAGCAGTCACAAGCAATAATGTGAGCTCAGATCTAAATGGTTGTGATACTGGAGCAATATTTATCATGGAAGATGAAGAACATCAAGCTGCTATTCTAAACTCGCTTAATATGATGAGAAAAAGTCGTACTTTTTGTGATGTAATATTAAATGTAAGTTAAATATTTATTTAGAATAATACTTATACATCAGTTTTTATTTTGGGTTGTTTATTTTATATATTTTCATATCTCTTTTTAAGTAACAAAATGGGTTATTTTAATTTTTATTTTGTTCTACAAGTCAATTTATTTAACTTGAAAAAAATCATTATTTTTTATGAGTTGTCCACATTAAAAATAGAAAGATTTTACATCCTTTAAAAATATTATTATTGGGTTGGGATGGGAAATTTTGACCATTTTGAAACGTAGACCGACCACCATGAGTGTGTGTAGGTGGGAAATTCTGAATTACATGGTCATCGTGCAGTATTGGCTAGTTCAAGTCGATATTTGATGGAGTTGTTTAGTGCAGATGATGAAGAAAAGAAACATTCTCAGCGAGAAGCAATTACTACCTACACATTGAATGCCACTGGTCCACTCAATGATAGAACTGCTGTCGAGAAGCTCATCGAATACACCTACACATCTCGGTAACGCATTGTCGCTACCATTTATTTTTATTTTAAATTAAGACTCTTTTGTTTGACAAATAAAATCATGACACAATTTTAACTAAAATATTTATATTATTTAATTATGTAATTCAATTTTTAAAAACATTTTCTTCTTGTAAATATGCAAGATATTTAACGTGTTAGTTAAAATAATTTCATCTAGATTATTTTACCTACTGTGGTAATATTATAATTTCCAGATAAAAGTTCATACTTTTTTATTGTTAAAGAGTCTCTTATGAAATATACATTTTGTTAATATCATATGTGTTACTAATCAAAGTTATCAATAATATACTTTTTTTTTATAGAGCTTCTGTGATACCAATTAATATATGCAGTTTGTGATTCATGAATCACATTTAAGAGTATTTCATTAGGTTATCTATTTAAAACTAAAAATTTGTTTACAATAGAATTAAAAATTAAACTTCTTTAATTCTTCTATTTGAAAGGTGGACTCAATCTAATAGATTCAAGCTTGGTATATTAATGTTAAATAAAAAGTTAAATTTTACTTTTACAATATTTGAGTATATAACTCTAAATCAATATTTTTAATAAATTCATTAAATTAAAAACTATTATTAAACAATATAATATTGAAAAATTTATAATTTATAAATTGTAAAAATTTTCAGGTTAGAAGCAAATTTGTGTCAAGTAAAATCTATATTTCTAACTGCCTGCTATTTAAAAATGGATCGTGTTGCAAAAGAATTAAGTCGTTTTATGCTGAAACATTTGAGTGTAGATAATTGTATAGAGATTCGCTCTTTACCTTGTATATCAACTAGCATATCTTTCATAGCCCAAGTTAATACATTTATCTCAGCACATGTAAGTATTATTCTTATACTTAAGTAATTTTGTTAGATTTTTAATTAATTTATTTTTATTTTTTCTGTAGTATTTATGTTTTGGCATTACCATATTCATAAACCATATATCTTAGTTCTCATTGTTGGTGTTAAATTTATCTTTTAGGTGAAAAATCACCAAAACATCTAGTCAAAATTTTTTTACATTTGCCTTCCTCCTGTAAAATCTTTTTTATGGGATTTAGAAAAAATAATATAATTATGTACCTAGTATTTTATATTTTTAATACATTTTGTCTTATTTTATATTAATTTTTATTGTTTTGTTAAATTTTTATTTTAAAAATATGTTAAATAAACTAAAATAAAGGTTGATTAATAAAAAAAAAAATTTGCTTTTTTGTAGAATATATCCAGTCATTTAAATGTATACAGTCAATGTATTTATATATGTTTTGTTTTTAGATGAAAGAAGTAGCTGAAACATCAGCTTTTCTTTCATTACCATGTGTAAGAATTGAAATATTAAGCCAAACAAAACAAGAAATGTCTCTCAGTACGGGTGATTCTGTATCTGAATTAGTTCTTGACTGGATCAAACGTTGTTATGATGAAAATGAGCATTTAACGTTTTTCAATGTTTTAATGGAAAAAGTTAGTTAAATTAAGAAAATATCTATCTAGATTTTAAATTGTAATATCGTTAATAATAATTTTATATTTATAGACTTATATGTTATACTTGGCATTAGATAACATATTACAAGATTGTTCTGAATTACCTTCTGGAGATTTAAGTGATACAGAAATTGTTCAAGATTATAAAAAGTTGTCAAAAAAATCTACATCTATACCTAAGGTAAAAATTTTAGGTAACATAGAATATAAGTATTGTGTCCATTGAGGTAGGAAGGAAGGGATATTTATGTCCATGAAAAATAATTCTAGTTGTTGAATATGTTTTTTGCAAGCTCTCATTGTTAAGGAAAATGTGTTTTAGTTGTTTTATCATATTAGTCGATAGTATTTTATTTTTGGTCATCATTTATTGATTAGAAAGGCTTCTTCTGAAAAAATATCTTGCAAAATGTTGTTCCTGTTGTTTATCAAAAATTGTTCATAGGTATAATGGTATCATTTTTTGCATTATAGATTTTCTATTTTTTTTTGAGACAAGTATTAAATTGCTTAATATAATATTAATTATAAATATACTCTTTATTACCTTCATTTATTGTAAGTTTTTACTATGTTTACATCTAATAATACATTCATTAGTTAAGTTTATTTCGTATCAAGATTGAAGACGGTGAATGATTTTAATTATTTTGAAATAGGCATTTACCAATTTTTTTAACCCTTAACTACTGACATCAAATTTTTGTTCGCAATTTACTATTTATACATTGTTGTTAATATTAATTAATATTAATTGTATTTTCTTTTAATGTACCTTTAAATGGTTGACACCTAGTTATTAATTATATGAAGTACAAGAGTACAATCTGGTAGACTGCACGTCAGTAATTATGTCATTTATTTACACGTCGGTAGTTAAGGGTTAAAATTATTAATTAAATAAATTAAAAAATTTATCATTTTCTATTTAAAAGTAAACTCGGTGAGATTAAGGTGAGTTCGGAAACCCTTATATTTTTACAAGGCTTTAAAAGCATACATTTGCTAATTATATCTATACAGGATAAAGTAGTGAAATAACAAAAAATCCTTTTAGTTGATATTGATGTCTGTAATTTTAAATTTGTATTCTAGAGGTTTATTAAAATATAATGAACCAGTAGATTTTTCAAAAAATTAAAAATAATAATAATTTTTTTTTAGTTTGTTTTAGATATATGTTTTTTTTATTAACCAATTGTGAAGTATTCTTTATGCTTTTCCCTTATATCTTATAAGGGTATCAATTTTATTTTTTCAAATAACAATATACATAACTAGCTTATTTATTAGATAATTAAAAGAATGAATAGTTTATAATAACTTTTGATTCAATATTTTACTAATTATTATTATTTTTATACCTTGGTAAGATGAGGTGTATTATTGTGGTTCAAAAGCCATGAATTGTTTTGTCACATGGCCTGGCGTTTATTTGGATTGCTTTTATCATACTTCAGGGACATGTTTACCAACATCATGTAAAAAAATATTGATAATTGGACTACCCAACAACGTAAAATTAAAAAATTCTCATTATCTTCTAAACACACCTCGTAAGCTAGATATGTATGCTGCTTCTAAAAAAAAAAAAGTTGATACCCTTAAAATGTATAAGGAATGTACATTTAAAATACTTCATGATTGATAAATTGAGAAAAAGAAGTTTTCATTGCTCAAAAAAATGTCAAAAAATACAAATTATTTTCAAATCAGCGACTATGTATCTAATAAAAATTAAAAAAAATTATATACATTATTTTTATTTAATCAAATAATGATGGTTCATTAAATTCTGATGACTTTGTATATATCTGAGCATTTAGTAGTAATTTGATGTTAAAACTTAACATTTTATTTTGCTGTATAAGCATAACATCTAAACTAGCAAATCATAGGTTAATAGTACCTCAGTGTTTTTCTAAAATCAAACTAAACCAAGTTATTCAATATAGGTTAACCTTGTGTTATTTTTTTTTACTTGTATTCAATGAAATGATGATGTTTAGTTTACAAAAACGACCCAAGGAGTGTTTTTTCAATTTGTTATTAAAAAATAATTCATTTAAAATTTTGTTTGTATTAAAAAAATAAAAAATAGTCCATTAGCAATATTAAAAAAAAATTGAAAATCAACATTTGTATGTTAAACAAATTTATATTTATTTAATATCAATTTGAGAAGACTATATCTAATACTACAGTAACCAAATAAATACTAAAATCTAAAATCACAAAATACTTTTACTTTTGTAAAAATGGTATATGTATTATAAAGACAAATGGCATGTTAAATCAATTATTTCATTAGTTAGTTTGTTAATTTTCTATCTTTCAACTTGTTTAGACTAGACGTAAAGGCCAAATTCAGCCAGCAAAATCTAGAGTATTGATTTGCAACCGTGAAATACATGAAAGAAGGGATAGCGTTGTAGAAAGTGACTGGACTATTATAGGCGTAACTTGTGTTGGAGGTATAAAGTTAATAGTTAAACATTAATTTAAAAGTAATCTATGAAATTAAAATACTAATATTCAATATTATCTATATTTTTAGAACATACATTTTCTGCTTTGGCATCCCTTAAAGGTCAATTATGTTCATTAAGCATCAAGTTAAAGTTGAATGTGTCTACACTATCAAGTCCACCATCAACTCAGCCATCTCCATTAAATAGTCGAGCAGAATCTCAAGAATCATTACCAGATCTTTATTGTGCATTAGCACATATGACTTCAGGCAAATGTGCTGTTGGTTGTGCAAACTTTAACAATAATTTATTAGTGTGTGGTGGTTATGATCGAACAGAATGTATTAAAAATGTTGAATCTTATGATCCAGAGCTAAATATTTGGGAAACCTTTGAACCAATGTGTGAAGCACGAGGACGTTTTGATGTAGCAGTACTAAATAATAAAGTTTATGCAATAGGTGGATGTAATGGAACTACTGAACTAGCTACTGTTGAATGTTATGATATAATTAAAAAAAAATGGATACCCGTAACATCATTACCACTTGCTCGGTCCAATACAGGTGAATAACAGTTAATAGGTTATCTTGTAGACTTTTATAATAATTTAGGAATTTTAAATTATTATTTAAATTTTGTGCTAATATAAAAAATTTTTTAAATAATTATTTTAAATACAAAAGTGGTATAGAATTTATTTTTTAAGGAAATCAAATCAAAATCAAGTCAATATCTTCATTGTCTTTAAATAAGATAATGTGTTTATCTCGGTTTATATATTTTAATGTGTTAAGCTACTATTATTAGGTGCACAACTAAGTTCATGCTAATTTTTTTTATTAAAAATGTAACTTAATTTAGAAAAAATATTTACATATATATTATTCAAAGTATTGCCTATCATTAGATCTCTCTGCCTCATCTTTCTGGCAGTACTTGAATACCATTAAATAAAAGTTTTTGTCTTTTGAGGCTATTCATGAATCAAGTCATTTTTTGATGTCTTCATATGAGCAGAACTGCTGATCAGCCAGTTCATGTGCCATTGAACGAAACAAGTAATAATTGGACAGCGCAATATCTGGGGAATATGGTGGTTGGGGTAGGACTTCCCATTTGAGTGTTTTTATGTTGGTTTTAACAGGCTTAGTAACATGAGGCTGGCGTTGTCATGCAGTAGAATCATTTTTTCGTTCCTCTGTTTGTATTGTTGTCGTTTTTTGCGCAGTGCTTGGCTTAGTCGCATCAATTGAAGTTTATACCATTCCTCAGTGATGGTTTCATTCAGTTTCAACAGCTCATAATAAAAAACACCGACCTGGTCCCATCAAATACATAGCATAATTTTCGACTGAGCTGTGAATGTAGAAGCAAGACTAGGTAGTCATCAGGACTTCCTTTTCTTTGGATTGCTGTAATGAATCCATTTTTTATCACCTGTCACTATGGGATGAAGTTAACTCTTCCTTTTTTGCTGCTGAAACAGTTGTTCATAAGCTAAAAACGTCGCTCAAAATACTTGACTTCAAAAAAAAAAAGACCCAAGTTTCTTGTTTTTGAATCATTCTCATCATATGCAATCACTTAGACATGGCTTGGCGGATAACTTTTAATACCTAAGTAAAGTGTTTCTGCATTTGGCACGGATTTTTATCAAACAATTCTACTAATTCAGTGTTTTTAAAGTTTTTGGCCTTCCTTCACGCGGTCAGTCGTTAATAATGAAACCGTCATTTTTAAAGAAATGAAACCAATTACAGTAAGTTGTTACACAGAGAGCAGCATTTCCATAAAAAATTTTTAACTCTATGCGCTTCAGCCACAGTTTTCTTTGAATGATTAAGTAAAGTAACATTTACCATATATGACAATTATTTGGCACAAAATCATACATTTTCACACAACTAAAAGTATATGACGCTAAAATAAAATCACTAATGTGTCAAAGCGATTTGTTTACTATATGACTGCTTGGTTCATGACGTTTTAGATATGTTATAATCGACTAGCATTTACTGCTGGAGCCATCTATTGACAAACAGCGAGAACTTAGTTGCATACCTAAAATGATCAGCCTTTTAATTGTATTTAAATTCAGAATTATAGTGGAAATAGGATAAACAAATTTTGAGGGTGGTAATGATATATTTTAATATTTATCTCTACTTTAAGTTTTTAACAATGTATATAATTTTTGTAATTTTATTGTCTTGATAAATACATAAGCTAAAAATCTATCAATTTTAATTTATAATTTGAATAAAAATACAATTAAATGTCCCAAATTGAGGCAGTTAAATTTCTAGTATCATTTTCTAGTAGTCATCAATCTACAGCACTAGTAAAATGTTTGCAGGTATTGTTAAGATACGGAAAATATTAGTTCTCAAAATTAAGTGATATCTGTAAAATATTTAACTGTCCCAAAATGGTTTATTTGACAGTAGCATAAATTTTACTCTTCTATATTTTTTAACTTATACAATAATAAATACTATCTATATAAATTTTATGAATTTTGTTATATTAAAGACTTAAATGGTATATAATATTTACTAAGAGAATATTGTTCAAAAAGTTATAATAATTATTAACAAAATATTTATTGAAGGTGTTTGTGAATTGAATGGTAAAATTTATTGTATTGGTGGGTGGAATGGTCAAGTTGGAATAAAACAGTGTGATGTATATGATCCTGATACTAACCAATGGACAAGTATTGCTCCTTTACAAACAGGTACAGTTATATTTTCATTTTTTTCTTTTTTTTTTTTTATAATTAAAAAAAAAAATTTAGGAAGAAATCAAGCTGGCGTTTGCGCTATGAATGATAAAGTGTATGTAGTTGGTGGATGTGATACGTGGAATTGTTTAAATACTGTAGAATGTTATGACCCAAAAACAAATTCATGGTCTTTTATTAAGCCAATCATAACACCAAGACGAGGTTGTGGGCTTGCCCATATTAAAGGTATTAATTTGTATTTATTTTTTTTAATATCAATAGAAACATTTATTTATATAATTGTGTGACACATGTGGGAAAATGGGCAACAGCAGGAAACATAGTTTTTCCTCTTTTAGAATACTATAATAAAGAAATTATAACATTTACGAAGATATATAAATTAAAAAAACTTCAATAATAGACACAAATAAGATACAATAAATAATAGACACAAAAACACTTCTTTGATAGAACTCTATCTTTAATAATTCATCTATCATATAATTTCAAAGTTGAAATAACTAAATAAATAAAATGACTAAATTTCTAAATTTGTCATGGATCTTTTATTTTATTACATGTTTACATTTTTGACTCTTTTGTCATAAAAATGTAAAGTATTATTTGGCATTAGTGCATTAGTAACTAGTATTAAAACCAAATTTCTTTAATTGCCATATTTTAAGTGATATTAGATTTTCGACTCTCAATTATATAGTTGAAAAATTGGGATAGCAAAAAAATATTAGGTTAGAATTAAATATTGATATTATAAAATTAAAATCACTAAATAAAACTTTGATAGTAAACATACATTTTAATAATACTTAAAATTTATATTTCGAATAGATTTTTTTTTAAATAACTCAAATACTTTAATTTATTTTCAGTCTAAATTTTAAGCGTAATACACTAATAAATTGTTTGGCTCAGTTATTTGCATTATTTGGTTTGTCTGCTTACATACATTCTGACTGAGGAATCTGCAGATTACTTAAGCACCAACTCTTTTCGTTCCTCATTTAATTAGGTAGCTACTTTTCTACAGTATAATGTTCACTATCCTTCTCTTTATAAACAGATTTGTTCCTCTTAAAACTTTTAAAAGATCCCACTTTCCTCGGTGGATAACAAGAGAACTAAAAAATTTAAATAATGCAAAAACATGCTCATTATATTTTTAGAAAAACCTAATTACCTAATGATTTTAACATGTTCTCCTTTTTTCTTATAAAATGTAAGCGATTATCTAAACTCAATTATCAAGTTTATGTCACTTCTACTGAATGCTCACTCTCTTTGTCTCCACATATCTTTTGAAAATATATCAAGCAGCAGTTATCCCTACCTAATTCTTTTACATATCTTAATACAATCTCTAATAGTCTTATTGATTCTACCTCTCTCTTTTCAAAGTATTTTTCTTTTACTTTCAAACTTCTAATAATTTTTGTCACTTCATTTAGTGATAACTACAGTTGAAAATTCTCTGCCTTCTTATTATTTTTTTACTCCTGATAAATTTTCAAAGCTCTTGAAAAATTAAAAAATGTTTCCTCAATTAGACCTGATGGTATCTTTGCAAGATTTCGTTGTAATTTTGTTTTCCCTATATTTTTTTCTTTATTTCTTCTCTTCAGAAAGTCCTTAGATAAAGGTACTTTCTTTCTCTGTGGAAAATTTTACATCTGGTGTTCCACAAGGTAGTCACCTAAGTTCTCTATTTTTATTAACTCTACAAGCTGTAACCATCTTCTTAAATCTCATGTTTTTCTTTTTGCTGATGACATAAAAGTAACATTATTAAGTAGAGTTTTCAAAAAGAATTCAATTTACCATACTATTATTGTTTATTAATATGTACTAATGTAAAAAGGTGTTTGGTGTTAATTATTTCAAATAAATAAATAAATATTTAAAATATTATTTAGTTATTTTGAAAGTCGTTTTTATAAAAACTGGCTTTAAATTTAAAAGAACAATGTAGTTATTTAGAATATAAGTATTTTTTAATCAATAAACATTGTGATTTTAGGGAAATTATATGTTGTGGGTGGTTCTGATGGAACACAGTCCTTAACAACTACAGAAATATATGACCCAGAAGAGCGAATTTGGAGTCCAGGACCAAATATGACTACTCCTAGAGCCAATGTTGGGGTAGCAGTTATTGGAAATAGATTATATGCTGTAGGAGGTTTTTCTGGTAAGAATACTACATCTAAATCATCAGTGCTATCATCTTATATTCTTAAAAAAGTATTTCATTTATCCTATCAGCTACAGCATTAAGCACATAAGTAAAATTTTATCAATAGGTTTTGAAGGTGCTTATGTATTTTGAACCTAAAAAACAAATAATTAGAAATCTAAGAAAATTATAACCATAACTTGTTATGATATAAGTATATGATTAAGCATAATGAAATTTCTAATTATTTATATATTGTAACTTCAGATAATATTTTGAATTACTATTTTAAAAACCTTCTTTGTAAGTTTATTTGTGCAAAATTAAAATAGTAAAACTTATCAATATTTTTTTGTATTTGGCATATTTTTAAAATTAATCTCAATTACTTTGGTGTTTTTTTATTTACAGGTAAAAAATTTTTGAACAGTATTGAATTCTTGGATTTATCCATGGATGAATGGACTCAGTTTAGTCCTAGAAATAATAATTGTTCTTTGTCATCATCACCATTATCTCCCAATAATGAGCCCATCTATGATTATAATAATTGTGATACTTTAAATGGTTTAAATAATACTATTGTAGGTTAAAAAAAACTAAATCATGCTTTTTCTTATCAAACTATGTTTTTTTATTTAAGATATTTTCTAAATTTTTGTGATACTTTTTCTTTTTCAAGTTAACATTACATTTTCACCAATGTTCAATAATTACACCTATATATATATTTAAAAATAAATTATTGTCGACCAATTTTAATAAAATTTTCTAAAAAAATCTATTTTCTTATAATTATAATATTTTTACAGAAACAAATATGTATTAATTCAAAATGTTACTGTATATAAAAAATAAACAGTTTTAAATAGAAATGTCATTTATAGTTTTGATTTATCAATCAACCAAAAATAAAATTATTTTATAATTAGATAAGTAACAATTGATCAATGTCATTTAAAACATTCAGTTGTTATGTTTAATTTACAAAAAAATTATTGTTTATATCTGAAAATTATAGTATTTCACACTTATCTATTATAAATGTAAAATATGATTGCGTTTTATAGACTTAATATTTAGACTTTATAATGATATTTAATTCAACATATAGTTAAATTTATTGTTATGTAATAAATAATACATATATTTTAGTATGCCATTTGATGTTAATAGTTATCAATTAAACATTTTGTTTTTGCATGGTTTTTAAATTACTTTCAAGCATGTTTTTTTTAATTTTTAAGTATAAAATGATATTATTAATTTGATTAAAATTTAACTCTTAACAGACTTAATTGTTAGTTATATTCAATGGACACTAAATTAATATTTATTATTTAATTATAATCATACCCATATAAGGGAGGCAACAAGTGGTTCTTTAAAAAAAGTAGTGAATACATTAAATTTTTTTTTAAAATAAAATTTGATAATGAATACCTATGTCCTACATACAATATTATTATATTATGATAGATACTGAATGGTGTTCATAATCATGATTACAGAATAAAAATGTGTGTTTATTTAATCTCTGTAATTATTAAATATTTGACATTTCAGGAACTTTTCATTTTAATACTTATATCTTTTGCTCCTGAAGTATACTTTAAAAAAATGTTTCATGACTAAAAAAAGGTTTTATCCCCTCTGAATTTTATATAATAGGCGCCTATAATTATTCCTACTCTGTATCAAATTAAGTGTTTTGCCAATAATATTTGTTTTAATAATGGCAATTTTCAAAATGATGTACCTTATAAATGTTTTATTTTTAGTCTTTTTTTTTTTTTGTATTTAAAATTGTTATCAGAGTTTACAGTTTTATTTATAGAGTGGCTTTAATCTTTAAAATCTATTTATTAGATTGTGCTTTATAGGTTGAAAGCAAGTACACATAAACATATGAATTAAACTTTTAATGTATGTCATTCAAAAATTATTTTGTTTAATTATAATTTTATAGTTAAATTATAATTTATGTTTTAAATGTAATGTTAAATATATTATAGAATATTTTTTTCACATTTTGATTTCTACTTATCTATTCTCTTTCCTTAAATTATAAATTTTATTAAAAAAGTGTTATTAAAATAAATAATTCTATTTAACATTTTTTGGAAGTTTTGAAATTAATTTGTGTCGGTTACTATTGTTCACTATCAGTTTGCCCTTAACAATTGTAATATAATTGCCAAGAATTTAAAAATAATGTTTGTTTATCAAAATACCATGTTAGAACTGTAAATCAATTCCTAAAGTAATAATTACCTTGTATTACATAAAATATAATTTTCAATCTTCTTTTTCCTCGTCTTAATCCCAACTACTTGGGGTCGACCACCCTTATTCTAAACTTCCACTTGACACGATCACCCACGTCATCTACGCACACATCCTAAGTATTTAAAACTTTCCAATTCTATCAAGTACTCGCCTATTGTTATTGAACTCCTCATTTTAACTACCTCGTGCCCTCCTTTGTCAAATTCGTACTCTATATACTCTTATAAAATATAATATTCAATAATTAATTTTATGTTTTTTTCATTTATTTTTCAATATCTTAAAGCAAAATAACATGCTATGTTATTGTACTACCCGAACTACTCTATTAATTACTAAATGAGACGGCCGCAAACATTTCTAACTCTTGAAAATGCCCATTTATTGTTGAAACAAAAGTTAAAAAATGAACTGATTTTTTCGTTTTTTATTGGAACTTAAAAGAATATTTTCAGGGGTGTAATTTAGGGTGTAAGAGGTCTATTTTTTTGTTTAGAGGGTTCACTGAAAATCGCTCTGGAAAATTCTATTTGAGCCGCTTAAGGTGAAAAATACTGTTCCCTTAAAAATAATTAAAAAAGAACTATGCTCTTATTAAATTAAAATTTAAAAAAGTTTACAAAATATACTAAATATGATTATAGAAGAAATATTAAATTTTAATATTTGTCTATAAGCTTAGATTCCAGTTATAAATTTACTCTGGATATAAGGTTATTCAATTTTTTTTTTATAAAATTAGTATTCATTTTTTATGAAACCCATTTAAGGTCGGAAATCTTAGAATGAATTTGTTTAAATGAGGGTATTATACAGAAATTTACAGACTTAATGCTTGTCACATAAATGTAATGAGCAAAATAGTTTTTAACTTAAATTAAGTTAAATTGATGACTGGGACTAAAATATTCAAAATTATGGACTATATTAATAATTCTATAATTAAATTCTTTGTATAAGTGTTATGGGATGTATTTTACTACTCATATACATTGTAATATTTAGCTTTTAGTTTACCTCTATGTTCAAATAATTATGAACATATTTTGTTTAATATTTGTTTTAAATAATGTCGCCGCTTTTTTAAGAATATTGACTTTACCGCAGCATTGCAACTATTTAGCTGTACATCTTGTGCAGATATACCCTACCATTCCCTCATACTAACATTTTTAAAATTTTGGGATCCCTTCTAATGTATGTAGGTATTGTATACCGGTTTTTGCGGTACAACTTCAGTGTCTGCTCAAGCATCGAGTTAGATAAACAATGTTTATCTTAATGTTCTCAAGAACGCGGTAAGTCTTTACATAATTTAAAATTTTTTTGTTGGAGTCGAATGATATAGAATACTATATTCGCAATGCCTATAAAATACATTTTATATGTTTTTACATATTAGTAAATTTATAATGAAATTTAGGAGTGGAAAAATGTTTTTAAGACTAAAATTTTTCCCAGGTTTTATTTTATCGAGAAATTTGAAATGAATAGTCTAATAGCTTAGCAATGGGTTCTTAAATAGTGAAATTGATTTAATTCACTGGTAACCATGGTAGATTGTAACTACTAAATGAATATAGATAGGTATTGTATAATTTTATCGGATGTAACCATTTTGTATCAGTTGTATTGGCTTGTCGTAGCAATCGCGTTAACCCGACTCTATCATATTATGACGTGTTATCATAACTCGAATGAGATATTAAACACAGGATTAAATTAGCACCAAATTTGTGTATAATTGTCGATTATTGAGGAAATTGAATTTTTAAGACATATTTTGTAAAAATATTTTAGTTCTCTAAATTTAATATGGTTTAATTTTTTTAATGCTAACCTTTTTTTTTATAATAATCGTAAGTTAACTGAATACTACTACTAAACGAATTAGTATTCACTAGTACATAAGTTAATTTTACTTTAATAATAGCAGTGTTTTATGAACTAAAGTATTTTTCAATTAACGGAGATGTCATCCATTGAGCAGCCGTGTTATACTTTGATTAACATTTCCAATGATGGTGAAATGCCAAATGAAATGCAACTCAAAGCAGATTTAGGTAAATTATTTTCTAATTGTCTAAATTTTTTAATATTGATTATTGTGAATTTTAGAAAAAGGAGATAATAAGACCAAAATTGATGCCCTTAAAAAGGTTATACAAATGATTGCGAATGGTGAGCGATTACCTGGTTTATTAATGATCATCATTCGATTTGTTTTACCATTACAAGACCATACTATTAAAAAGCTTCTTTTAATATTTTGGGAGATTGTTCCAAAAACTACACCAGATGGGAAATTATTACAAGAAATGATCTTAGTTTGTGATGCATATAGAAAGGTAAATTAAAAAACAAATTGCTCAGATTAAAATTATACAATAATTGTCAGAAGCTAGGTTTTGATCATTATAAGTCAAATATTATAAAAATTGTAATTTATATATATTCTGTACAACTTAAGAATATGTACATCTAAATGACCAACATTAAAATATTATGTTTTACCAGTAAGGTAAATGTATTTTGATTAATTGTCCATTGTTGGCTATATTTATTTAAATTGTATTTTCTGTGTTGTAAACAATCCACTACTAGCATGGTCAATTAAGTCATATTGATTTACAAGGATGAGAATTTCAAAGGGTCCTTTAAATAATCACTTTTGTTTAAATAAGAAAATATTAAGCAAAACATCTACCACTAATTTATATTGTAAACTGTGAGATGTGCCTTATATTCATAGGTTCTAGAGTAGCAAGAGAAGAATAGGAGATTAATAGGTAGCATATTTATGAAAGGGATTCATAACCTAATTTTTGTGTATATTGATTAGTATGTTCTGAAGTTTAACAGTTTATAGCACTACCTATTACTTGATGTTAAAATATTTATAAAGTGAGTCATAATGATATGTCAAATTCAGTAACTTTTGATCCAATTCATATTATTTATTAATTTTTTGAATAACTTTTTTATGTTGTCAGTATTAAAATAACATAACATACTATATTTTTTAAATTAATTGAAAAAATTTAATTTACGAAAAATGTAAAAATAATTTTATGATAGCCATTTTGTAGAGTATATTAAAAATATATATATTTTATTAATGTTCAGTAGTAAATCATCTGTAGCATTTAAAAGTTTTTTTTTTTTATCAAAGTAATTTTTAGTACTATTATATTATATATTAATATACAATAATAAATTTGAGGTACTTATTAGACTCTACATTTTTCAAAAACACAATCACTTTTGACACTCAATATAAATTTTTGAAAAATTTGGGGCATGTATTTCAACGAAATTTTGACTAGATGATAAATTGTTATGTATTATTATTTTTTTAGTTGATATAATTTTTAGTTATTACTAAGAGGGGTGTACACTAGAAGAAATCTTATCTGTACTTAATGGTGAAAATAGAGCATGCTAGTTATAACTAGCATGCTCTATTTTCTAAGTATTAATAATACTTATTACTAAAATTAATAAGTAATAATAAGTATTAAAATTTAGCTTTCAAAAATTATCTTTATCTTAAAAATAATTTTTTCTGACAATAAACTTGATATTTGGTTAATAAAAATAAATCAAATTTTAATCTACTCTAAGAAAAAATCTTAATTTAACAAAAATATGGGAGTAGTATTCTTAATAAATCACAGTGTATATAGTTAGTAGTTTGAGCGTGGTCAGATTATATATACATCAGTATGGGCTAAATCCCCATGCATTACAATTCCTTTTTTTTTTTTCACGGTCGATATAATGTTGGCCGCTCTGGAACTACTATGAGGTATTGCGATCAAAGTCGCTATAAAACTCACACCGCCGTGTTGTGACTCATCCCGAAATTAATTAAGAGCTGAGTCACATACGTGGCCTCCCCCGTAAGCTGGATCCCAGAGTGGGATCTGTCGTCTAGGTCGCACCATGTGGTGGTGGGGTTTGGTTGGGTTGGCACATAATTCACAAGAACACAAAAGTAACACAGAAACATGAAGAGGACAGGACTTATCCTAGGCAGACTTCTACGGTCCTCCCACCTTTCTGGGGCAGTCCTTGGTCAGATGGCCCTCTGCCCTATACGAGAAGCACTCACCAGACACCAGTAGCAGCGTGGTCCCTTGTCCTTTGGGACCCGGATCTAGTGCGTACTCCAACCAACCCGGAGTAGTGTTAGCCCGACCAGTGGTTGCGCGGCCCTAATGGGCACTTCGCACCATGCGAAGCGTCCGTCGTCGCTCCCGTGCAGCTGGATTATCACTAAGCCGGCAGGTGCAGTGACTCCCTCTTTTGAGAGGATAGTGGTCAACGCCCCTAATGCATTACAATCCCACACTAAGTAAAAAATTTTTTGTAACTCACTAAGTACTTGTTCTAAAATTGTTATCAACTCATTAATCATTTTTGTAAGAAAAATAATAAAAACTGGCTATTTCAAAGTTTTGAAAAAAAAGTCGGTTAGATCTGAGACACTCTGTATATCTAAATATGTAATTTAATACTGAAAATTACTTTGATAAGACAACAAAGACATAATAATTAAGAGTTAAATGCTTTATTCTGTACATTGTTTATTTTTATCAATATAATAAATTGAAAAATTTAATGTCTAATAAATACCAACATTTTATTTTGTAGGACTTGCAACATCCTAATGAATATTTAAGAGGCTCAACATTACGCTTTTTATGCAAATTAAAAGAACCTGAGTTATTGGAACCATTAATGCCAGCTATAAGAACATGTCTTGAACATCGACATTCCTATGTAAGGCGAAATGCTGTATTAGCAATATTCACAATATATAGGTAAAATAAAATAAAATTTTTTTAAGTTTTCATGGAATAGTCATTTTATTTATATAAATAATTTATTTTCTTTTTAGAAATTTTGAATTTTTAATTCCTGATGCTCCTGAACTTATTGCCAATTTCCTTGATAGTGAACAAGATATGTCTTGTAAAAGAAATGCATTTATGATGTTACTTCATGCTGATCAAGAGAGAGCTTTAACATACCTTGCATCTTGTTTGGATCAAGTTGCTTCCTTTGGTGATATACTTCAACTTGTTATTGTAGAATTAATTTATAAAGTAATTAAGAATGTTCTTGTTTTTTTTTTTCAATTATTTAATTTATATTTATCTTTAAGGTATGTCATGCAAATCCATCAGAACGATCTCGCTTTATAAGGTGTATTTATAATTTGCTCAACTCTAGTAGTCCAGCTGTTCGTTATGAAGCTGCTGGAACATTAGTCACATTATCAAATGCACCAACTGCAATTAAAGTATTTTATTTAAAACTTATTAACTATAAAATTTTAGTGATAAAAATAACTATATATTTATTTATTTTTGAATTGTAGGCAGCAGCTTCATGTTATATTGAATTGATTGTAAAAGAAAGCGATAATAATGTTAAACTTATAGTTTTGGACCGTTTAATAGCTCTAAAAGAACATCCTTCTCATGAAAGGGTATTACAAGATTTAGTTATGGATATTTTGAGAGTTTTATCCAGTACAGACTTAGAAGTCAGAAAAAAAACTTTAAATTTAGGTAAATTAAAAATACCTGATTTAAATTTTTTTGGTAATTGAAGTCATAATTTATATTAAAATTATTAAGTTTTGTTTATTTTTTAGCTATGGATCTTGTTTCATCACGTAATATTGAAGAAATGGTATTTGTACTAAAAAATGAAGTTGAAAAAACTCATAATCTTGCTGAACATGAAGATACTGGTAAATACAGACAGTTGTTAGTTCGCACTTTGCATTCTTGTTCAATTAAGGTTTGTAAATTTGAATAAATGTTTTAATAAAATAAATATTATTTCTTATTGAATATATTTAGCTAACTTACATGTTTAAAAAAATTTAATTGAAAAATGTTCTTTTTAGTTCCCTGATATAGCTGCTACTGTTGTGCCAGTTCTCATTGAATTTATATCTGATAGTATAGAATTAGCTGCAACTGACGTTATGGTGTTTTTACGTGAAGCTATATTTTTGTTTGAATCTTTACGTCCTCTTATTATTCAACGTTTATTAGAAGTTTTTCAATCTATTAAGTCAGTAAATGTACATAGAGCAGCACTTTGGATTCTTGGTGAATTTGCTAATTCACTAGAAGATATTGAAAATACTATTAATCAGATCAATACATCATTGGGAGATGTATATTTATTGTTAATTTTCTTGTATGATTCAGAATTAATCAGATTTTAATTTTAATTTTTAGATGCCTTTAATAGAAGATGAACTAAGAAAATTAGCTGGAGATTCAGAAAATATTGAAGAAAGTGGAAGTAGTGGAGGCACACATTTAGTTACATCTGATGGAACATATGCTACTCAATCAGCATTTATTACTCACAGTTCATCTCGTACTAGACAGTCCAAAAGACCTCCATTGCGTCAATACTTAATTGATGGAGATTTTTACATTGGAGCAGCACTAGGTACAACATTTACTAAATTAGGGATGAAATATGCTGAAATATGGAATATGGATGATCCTGTCAAAGCTAATAAATTTTGTGTCAATTTAATGCTTACATTGACCTATATTTTAAGACTAGGAAAGTCAGGTAATCTTTTAATTATATTAAGAAAAATGTATTTCTAATTTTAATAATTTTAATTAGGTATTCCAACTAAAGCAATTGGTATTGATGATGAAGATAAAATTTTAGAAAGTATTAAAATACTTAATGGTAGAAATTCTGATTTAGAAGAAATTTATACAAAAGAATGTAGTAAATCACTAAGTGAAATGTTAGCAGCAAAAGAAGATGAAGAAAGTAGCAACAAAAAAGTAAGTTGTATATTTTCTATGAATGAGTTTTTTTTTTCTCTGTTACTGGATTATCAATATAAAAGTATATTTAAGTTCCTAAAAATGGGTAAATAAAAACAAACTAAAAATTTGAATTTAAAGAGGAATCATCACTAGGTTTGCGAGGTTCTTTAAGCACATCCAATACACTTCATGTCCTTGTTTCTTCTTTACTATACGTTTCTATTGACATTATTGATATTTTAATTTCACATTATTTTCTAAAATATTAATAAAGTTTATTTGAACTTATTCAAAATTATCAACTTAGTAACAATTTTTATCCATTAATTTGTATTTAATAACATATTGATCGAGATCTATTCCCTTATTTATAAGTTGTTCTGTTTAAAGTTTAAGAAATACTGAATTAAGATTGCTTTAATAATGATTGATTATACTTTCAGGCAAAAGAAAAACCGGGTCATAATGTGAATGTGGATGATGCTATAGTATTTTTACGCAACAGTGGTAATGGTACAGAAGGTACTGAAAATGTTTTTGAACTTAGTCTGACACAAGCTGTAGCTGGTGGTACATCTATTCATCATAGTGGAGATGCATCAAATAGTCTTTCATCTAATAGTAAACTTAATAAAGTTACTCAATTGACAGGATTTTCAGATCCAGTATATGCTGAAGCCTATGTTCATGTTAATCAATATGATATAGTTTTAGATGTGTTAATAGTTAATCAAACTGGTAAATAATGTTCTGATAATAGTCTAATCACATGATTTTTTGTGAATAAAATTTATTTATAATTATTTATTAAGGTGATACATTACAAAACTGCACACTTGAATTAGCCACAATGGGAGATTTAAAATTAGTAGAAAAACCCCAACCAGTTGTATTAGCACCTCATGATTTTTGCAATATTAAGGCTAGTGTCAAAGTTGCTTCAACAGAAAATGGAATTATATTTGGAAATATTGGTAAATTTAAAGTTTAATAATTTCATGAATATATTTATGATATTTATTATATATATATGTATAATTATATTATGCAATTTTATAGTGTATGATATTGGTGGTGCTATTGGAGATCGAAATGTAGTTGTATTAGATGATATTCGTATAGATATTATGGACTATATAATGCCTGCTGCATGCAATGATTCTGAATTCCGTCAAATGTGGACAGAATTTGAATGGGAAAATAAGGCAAGTCATTTAAATAATAATAAAATGTTTTTCTTATGTATATAAATTATAGTTATTATTTAATATATTTTGTTTGTGTAGGTTTCTGTTACTACAAGTTTAACAGATTTGAATGAATATTTAACTCACTTGCTTAAGAGTACAAATATGAAATGCTTAACCCCAGAAAAAGCTTTATCCGGACAATGTGGATTTATGGCTGCTAATTTATATGCAAAATCAATATTTGGTGAAGATGCATTGGCCAATTTAAGTATTGAAAAAGGTGTAGATAAACCACAAGTCAGTGGGCATATAAGAATACGAGCCAAAAGCCAGGTTAATAATTTATATTTCTAAGTTCATATATTTTTATTAGTTTTTAAATACTTTTAACTAAATTAAGTTGTATAATTTTAGTATTTCTAGTATTATTTTATATATATTTAAAAAATTTCTTTTATCATTAGATTTCATTTTTGAATATTTTAAGATAAAAACGATTATCAAAGAAATATATTATACCACTTAAAAACATTTTAGACCAATTCTGCTCAATAACACAATAAAAGATCACAAAACATTACTAGTTGAAGCTATCAGCATTATAATTTTGTTAAATTCTCCTTAGTCTCTATAATAAATGTATACATCCCAAAAAAGTACAATTGTTATAAAATAGTAAATGTTGATATTTTTTCTTTTCATTTTATATTGAAATAACTTTTTGAAAACTGAATGGATTATTGCGAAATATTTATTGATATATTTTAAACATTTTCCTTGTTAACGACATATTTTTTTTTGAAAATCTAATTATTCATCCAATTACTGTGAGGATTAAAAATGATATATATATTTTTTTCTTATTAACTTTTTGTATTTAAAGAAATCTACCTTCTAAAAAAACCCAGCACAGTGGTGACGTGGCATAGTTGGATCAAGTATAATGATATCTGACAGTGATTAAAATCACTATCAAAAAAAAAAATGCTTCGATGCAAATCTTTAGATAGTGTTTAATTTTAAAAAATTGGTGTATTATTCCAAAAGCTACATGATATATTAGTTCCTTGTTAATATCTTGATTAAGATGAAGTATGTCGAATGAAAAAGGGATTATTAAAAAATATTATTTCTCATTAAAAAAATTGTGTTGATTCATACACTTTTCAATAAGTTATAGCATTATAAAGTTAAAAATGTAAAAAATAAAATCGAGAATTTTCATACAATAATAGCATTTGGTAGCCATTTTCACTGTGAAGACAAAATAAAGACCGAAATTTTTTTTTTTTGCATAATAAAGTAAATTACATTAGCTTTAATTTAAGATATATATAAAAGTGTCAGACTTTCCGGAACACTTTCAAAATTTCAGTTGAAAAAGTTCTATTTTCTACATGCATTTTTTAGATTTGAACCCCCCTCGTATATAGGGAAATGGTCCGATTTAAAAAAACAGTATGTCGAATGAAAGATGTATATAAATACTACTTCTCATGAAAAAATTGTATTGATCCATACATTTTCAAATAGTTATAGCATAATAAAGTTAAAAATGTAAAATACAAAAACGAAAATTTTCACACAAAAATAGCATTTGGTAGCCATTTTCACCGTGAAGATAAAATAAAGTTCGAAATTTTTTTTTTCCATGATAAAGTATATTACATTAGCTTTAATTTAAAAGTATATAAAAGTGTAAAGGGTCAGATATAAAAAAAAATATATCAAATGGAAGGTAATATCATGCATCTATATAAAAAATTTTTTATTGATTTGGTCATTTTTGAAAAGTTATGGCAGTTTTAAATAAAAAAAAATTAAAAAATGTTGAAAATTAGCATTTTATATTTTTTAGAGATTTCCCCCATTTACGGGGAACGAGTTAAATTTTTTCAATTTTCGAGAGTAATGTCTTTGATTAGATACAATNTTTTTTTATTGATTTGGTCATTTTTGAAAAGTTATGGCAGTTTTAAATAAAAAAAATTAAAAAATGTTGAAAATTAGCATTTTAAATTTTTTAGAGATTTCCCCCATTTACGGGGAACGAGTTAAATTTTTTCAATTTTCGAGAGTAATGTCTTTGATTAGATACAATTTGTGATCTTTTGACGTATCATTGAAAGAAATCAGTTCGGTGAGAGCTGAGAAAAAGTGGTAACAGACACAAAAAAAATTAAACACATCTTAGTAAAACCAATACCTTCTCAGCTTCGCATCGAAGCTAAAAAGTACATCAAATTATAGTTCATAAAATATACTTTAGGTAAAAAAAGAAAAACTATTCTAACTTTTAGGAGTTATTGTTAGGCATTAATACTAAAAATAATAAAATGTTTGATAAAACTAGGATATTTTGAAGTTTTTTGCATTGTAATGGATTATTTACAATATTCAAAGTTTTATTAAATTTAAGGTTTTTTTATGTTTTATACTATTAAAAAAAGAAAGATATTTTAACAACTTGTTTTCTATTAATAATTGGCCTCTAAAGTCGATAATCGTGTAACTATTGGTAAATATGTTACATTCTATTTTTAATATATTTCAAATATGCATCGAAGCGCTTTACAACAGTGATTTTAATCATTGTTTAATATTAATCAATACTAATATAAAAATGTAATAACTGTACTTTACTTTAAAAATATGTGATAGATAAAATATTTTTTATAATCCTTGTTTATCTTTAGTAGTTTATAGATTAAAAAATTAAATATTGTTTTGATTGATAATATTTTGAAGCATTCAGAAACTAAACTATCCAACTCTACTTTTTTCAATAGTATTCACTTTAAAAAATAGTGTAAATAATAAACAGCATGGTTGGGTTAAAAAAAAACTACTTTTAAAAGTAAATGAAAGAAAGTGATCTGAAAAAAGTGATTAATCGTCTTGGCTTCTAAGCACCTCATTGTCTTATAGGATTCAATAAGTAAATTATTAAGTATTATTTTTACATTATTTTTATTGGTAAAAGTAAACATAATTATATAACAGTTATAAAAATATTTTGTAATAATAATTAAAGTTCATAACTCTTTCTTTTGGCTAAGATACAGTTTCAAATTAATTAATGTTATTAAAATTAGAGTCTATTAGAATGCAATGGATAATAATGAAGTGGTTGCCCTCCTAATTACACAGAATAGAATTCTATCTGTGGGTAAAATATGAAATAAAAGTATGAAAAAAAATCATTACAATTTTAAATGTCATTTTTATAAGAAAAATAAAAACTATTAATTTTATTTATTATTCTCATGTATAGCTACATTATTAAGATAAACAAACTATTGAAATTAAAAAATATGTTCTTCAAAATTAGTTAAAAGTCCTTTAATAAGCTTGCTATTTCTACTTTTAAATAAACAATAAAATTTGGGTTTATTATATTAATAATTTATTTGTAATGTTCAAAATTCATAAACTATTATTCTTATAAATTTTTAATTTTGTTTATAAAATTTCCAATTCGTTTTGGATTAAATTTTCTTTTATTTATTACTCGCAATTCAGTTTGAGTTGTCAAGGTTTATCGAAATTATCATTATTTTTAACGTAATTGAAGTATAAAATTTAATAATTAAAGTTGAAAATTAATAAGTATAACGATTTTTTTTTTAGGGCATGGCACTAAGTCTAGGTGACAAAATCAATATGATGCAAAAAAAACCTTATAAAGCTAATGCTGCCTAATATTTTTAATGTTGATAACATCAATCTAGATTTACCTTCTTAGGTGATTAATATTTTCATTATTATTATTATTATTATTTTTATTTATACAATTATCAGAATATTTATGTATAAGAAAATTATTACAATTGTTAATCATATGCTTTACATTTAAAATAATAAAGATATTGTTCATTTTGGAACTCTGGGAATTTGTGGTATTTTTTTTCTCCTTGATCTTGATCTCCTAAATTAGAAAAAACACGTTTGAGTAATAAAACAAATCACTAAATAGATTATTAAGTGTAGATATGAATTTCCTATTTAAGCAGTAAACAATACAGGTATTAGATTTATTGTATTCGATGTGTCTGATAGTACTCTCTTCAGTATACAACTAAATAAAATTACAATGACAAGACGAGTAAGTAATCAATTTTTAAAGAAATGGTAATTTGTATTATGAGTATTTTATTTCGATTAGGTCTTTTTAGCCCTTGTTTACGTTATTCTTATGATTAAATTAGTAACACCTTGTAATAAAGCTTTAATTAAGACAAAAGTTGTTGCTGCTTGCGGTATGCATAAGAGGAGTATGCTGACAGATGACATAAATGATTTAATACCATTATCTAAAAGATTATCAAATAATTTGGATTATGCTGAACGACAGTATAAAATATTAGTTGAAAATGATGAGGACGTCGACGATGATGATTTGAATTCCGATGCGCTTGCTGAAGGCAAAAAAGTTGAAATCTCTAAAGGTACAATATATTTTTTTATTATAAGTATATGTGTATTTAAGGGAGACATTCTTTCTATGCACCGTTTCCAGTTGCGTAGGTTTGGAGTGACCCTAAATAAAAGTACAAACTTTATTATTACAGTTGAAACATATAAATTTTACGGAATGAACAACTTTTTTATTCATTTCATAAAAAAAAAATGAGTGAAAAAAAATTAAGGTTTTCTCCATAGTGTGGTAGAATCTGATACCTCGAATGACAAAATTCCTAAATGTAACCGTCCAAATATATTTTATGCTTTTGTAAAGCAATTTAAATACGTATATTTTATTACAATGTGTATATCATATGTTTAGTTTTGTAAAAGGATAATCTTACAAAAAAATATTAGTATTTTTTGTACTTACGCTTTTTTATAAGATAATTATTTTTGTGTCTATTTTTTTACACGATTTCCCATACACATCTACCATCGACCGTCAATCCTCGACTACGTGTTAATTTATGATAATTTAAATTTATTTATATTAATTTAATAAAAACTAAGTCTTACTAAATTCTACATAAGTTAATAATTGATACTTATTTTGGCGATATTTTTGTGAGAAGATTGCCCAGTGAAAAATAAATAAAAAATCTCTTTGAATAATGATCAAGTATAAATGCTAACAAAGTTTGACTAGGGGAATTTTTATTAAATTATTATTATAATTCTAGATAATAGTAATATGAATAAAAATAAAAATAAATTACAATATAAAATTAGAATTTTCATATTTATTCAACTCTTCTTTATGGATAAATCAATAAATAAATATGAACATTTATGAATTAGGATGACATCTTTTCATCTAACATTTATTTTTATGTTATTCTCGTTTTAATCTCATGTTTTGTACGTGACAAAAATGAAATTCTTTTTAAAATATTTCATTGGTATGATTAGCACAAAAAATTTTTACAGAATATTCAACTAACTTGATTGTACAGGACAACAGCTATTTTTCTGACCACTTTTTTAAGAACTTTTATTTATTTATATTTTACTTTCAAACTGAGTATTAACAGAAATTTGCAAAATATTCGACTTTCATAATAATAATATAATAATGATATATCATCGTGTTAAGTGTCAAAAAATAACAAGTAATATAATATAATACATAAGTCTGTTAATTTTTTAACTTACATACATTATGTATGTATTAAAAGAAAATACATAAATTAAAGTTGTAACTTTTCAAAAAATCATAGAATATAAGAAAAAGCAATTCAAAGTATGGCAGAAGAGCAAAAGAAGAGAAAATTGGATGGAGTATAAAAGCTAATGCAAAGAAATGTTCAGTAAGTAAGGCGAAGTTTAAGAGATATGATGAGTTGTATGTTAGGCTAGAAAATAAGAAGACAAGAAAGAAATCTATAGCCTTGCAAAAGTAAGAGAGAAAAGGATTAAAGATTATCATTATATAAGGTGTATAAAAAGTGCTGATAATAGGGTACTTTCGAGAGATAATGATGTGATAAAAAGTGGAAAGAATATTTTGAAAAATTACTGAATGAGGAGTATTCAAAAGAGACGTTAGAGAATATCTCTTGGAATGACGGACTGGTAGATTTAGTTAGAGAGAAAGAGGTATCGGAGTCTGTGGCATCAAAGAGAAAGAATAAAGCAGTGGGATCAGATGAAGTGCCAGTAGAAGTATGGAAAATATTAGGCGGTGTTGGCATAAGGTGGTTGAAGGAACTTTTAAATAGAATCTTATTAGAAGGGAAAATTCCAAATGAATGGAGGAATATTATTGTGGTACCGATATTTAAAGGTAAAGGTGACATACAGGAGTGTGGAAATTATAGAGACAAAGCTTAGAGTCATAGTATGAAAATTTGGAAAAAGGTAATAGATAAGAGAATAAGAAATGAGATTCGATATCCAGAAACTCGTTTGGATTTATGCCTGGTAAGTTAACAATGAAGCCATTATTTTGTGTGAGGAAACTAATAGAAAAGTGTAGGGAAAAGAAGAAAAAGATATGTATTGTATTTATAGATTTGGGGAAAGCGTATGATAGAGTACCGAGAGAGGTTTTAAAGTGGGCATTAATGAGAAAAGGAGTCCCGAAAAGGTTCATTAATATAATAGAAGATATATATGATGGCACTTGTACCAGGGTAAAAAGTGTAGGAGGAGTAACAGAAGGTTTTCGGGTAAGAGTAGGAGTGCACTAAGGTTCTGCTTTAAACCCTTACTTATTCTCTATAGCAGGGATGGGCAACTCAAAGTTACTAGAGGGCCAATTTTTAAAAAATTAAAATCTAGCGGGCCAGAGCATAGAAGCAAAAAAAAAAATGTACATTTTAATTAGCATTTTTTGTTTATAATGTAATAATACAAAAAGGGTTATTAAAAATTATTTAATTAAATATAAATAGATATTTGTTTAGTGTGAGTTTTGAGCATGGGTGGTTTCTAGTGACAACGCGGCAAAATCGACTTCTATTTCGGACGAAGAAACACGAAGTAGGTGACTTAAAGTTTCATCTGTAAGTCGATTTCTATGTTTTGATTTAATATGTTTCATGTTTGAAAATGTACATTCACAAATGTAAGTAGTCCCAAACATGGATAACATTTTTAATGCGAACTCTCGTAAAAGTGGATATTTTAGAATAGTTAATGTTTTCCAAAAGCTTATGTCAATCTCTTTTGTAGATAAACTTTAAAATTGTACGTTGCAATTTGAAAATGTAGCGCGAGCCAGATAAAAATGGCTCGTGGGCCGCCAGTTGCCCTCCCCTGCTCTATAGTAATGTATGAAATTACTAGAGAAATACAAGGAGAAGTGCCATGGTGCATGTTGTTTGTTGACGATATAGTATTAATAGGAAAAAAATAGGGAGGAAATTAATCAAAGACTAGAGGTGTGGAGATCAGCTCTTGAAGAAAAGGGTTTAAGAATAAGTAGGAGTAAGACAGAGTATATAGAGTACGAATTTGATAAAGGAGAACACGAAGTAGGTGAAATAAGGAGATCAGTGACAATAGACAAAGACGTGATTTGAGAGGTGGAAAGTATTTAAGATCAGAGAATGATTGTAACAGAGATGAGAATACTTAAATGGATGAATGAAATGCTTAGAGAAGACGGGATAAAGAACGAACAGGATTATAAGTGTAGCGTCAATCGTAGATAAGACGAGAGAAAATAGACTTAGATGGTTTGGTCATGTTATGAGGAGAGAAGAATCAGAAGCTGTATAAACAGTTATAGAAATGAATGTTGAAGGAAGATGAGGTAGAAGTAGATCAAAAAAGATATGGAGGATGCTATTGAATGCGATATGAGGACAGCTGATGTGAGCGTAGATGATGTGGGAGATCGTGTCAAGTGGAAGTTTAGGATAAGGGTGGCCGATCCCAAATAGTTGGGATTAAGGCGTGGAAGATGAAGAAAAACTTTTCTGAACTTATGAGATTTACTTATTTTTTCCATGATTACGTTATCGCCTGTAATTTATTATGTATAAAAAAAAAAAATTGATTTCTTTGAATTGGTCACAAAATTATTTATTGGTAGAAATTTCACAACTATGAGGTTAATCTTTAAATATTTACAGTGGAAAATTCAGCTTTTTTCTTAAAAATGGTCATTAAACTCAAATTTAGAGATCTATAAAAATGATCTAATTTGATGGATAAACCTCAAAATTTTACATAGCTTAATATCATCAAATGATATAAATAATGTTCTAAACACATATATTTTTCAATTTTTAATAATGATTTAAGTATTGCTTATTTACTAATTCTCATATTTACATAATCTCTCCATTAAAATCATAAAAATAATTAAAAACGTAAATAATTACAAAGAGTTTAATATAAGAGAGGTAATAGACATTTTTAAAAATAAAAGAAATTTAATTAATAGGGATTTTGGCTCATTGAAAAATTCATTATTAAACTTGTGTAAAATGGCAAAATGTGATAATATTACTTCGTGATAACGTCACTAGGGGTATATAAGAGTTTTTTTCGGTTGGGGTGACAGTATATGTTTAGCGTTTATAGTGGTAAAATTGTTCACGAAATACATATTTTTAGTAATTTTTTTGTGGATTTTTAAGATAAATATTTTTTAGATTTAAACTAATATTTATAATATAATTTTAATTTTATTTAGAATTCACCTAAGATGGTTAACAGAAAATTTTTCTTTATTTATTGCTATGAAATTTGTTGACAAATAAAATTGTCCACGAATAATAAAATCTTGTGTGTTAAATAATTGAGAAAATTTGAAAATTGCTGTTAGTAATCAGTAAAAGACAATTTATAAACATTCATTATTTGTGATTATTATGTGTCAGGGAGGTTCCTTTACCACTTCTCACAATATATGTTTTGTGAACATTTGCTATAATCATTTTATTTTTTTAATAATAATGATTCTTTGCTAAGATGCTTTGAATGAAAAATTCATTTTCTGCTACTATACTATAAATTCATATCAACTTTTAATTTCCAAATAGTAACTCCAATATTTTTATATCTTCAAATTTATTTTATTGAAAACAAATTCTTTGTTAAAAATTGTTTTTAAATTCTTCGATTTTTTAAATTAGTTACAGCTGTTTGATGTTTAGAACGCTCAGAAAATAGTGTACTCTTATAAAAATATAATTGGGTTGTAAATTGATAAGTGCTATCGGTTCATAATATCATTAAATTGTTTATACTTTACTTTGAATTTCTATGAACCGGAAGCGTTTATCTATATACGATATATTAACATTGTCATTTAAAAAAAATAAGTATGCTCTTTTTCTGATCGCTATTAAACCTTAAATAGCTCTAATTTGTTGAAAATCAAATAATACAGTAATATATAAGGTTAATTGAGGCAAATTTAAATAAATGGTGTAATTGTAAAATCATTATTCCTCTTAGAACATTCAGTAATATGACACAAAATAAGGCAATTCTAAACCTAATGAAGATTGGACTATATACTTGCAAGTATATATTTATAAATATAACTAAAAAATACACATATTTGCATTTCCTTTTGAAAATGTATTTAAAATTACTCGATTTGTTTATTTTTACCCCATTTGACCCTAAATTTGAGATAAAAAACCCAGCACAGTGGGGTCGCGGCACAGTAGGGATGTGGCATAGTTGGGCCAAGTATAATGATATCTGACAGCGATTAAAATCACTATCATAAAAAACACTTCGATGCAAATCTGTAGATAGTGTTTAATTTAAAAAAATTGCTGGATTATTCCAAAAGCAACATGCTCTCCAATTTCTTTATTTATAACCTGATAAAATTTTTTATGATTTATAAGTGTAATATATGAATAAACAATATCTATAATATAGATATATGTAAAGGGAAATGGTGTTATTTAAAAAAAAAGTATATTGAATGAAAGACGGATATAAATATTATTTCTCCTAAAAAAATTGTATTGATAAATACACTTATCAATAAGTTATAGCATTATGAAGTTAAAAATGTAAAATATAAAATCGAGAATTTTAACACCAAAATAGCATACGGTAGCCACTTTCACCGTAAAGACAAAATAAAGTTAGACATTTTTTTTTTCATAATAAAGTATATCACATAAATTTACATTTAAAGTATATATGAAAGTGTCAGTATTTCCAGAACAATTTAAAAAGTTAAGTTGAAAAAGTTGTCATCTTAAATCCCCCCCTGTGGGCAGGTAAAGGGTCAAATTTATAAAAAAAATATATAAAATGATAGGTAAAGACATCATGCATTTATAAAAAAAATTTATATTGATTTGGTCATTTTTGAAAAGTTATGGCAGTTTTAAATAAAAAAAATTAAAAAAATGTCGAAAATTAGCGTTTTAAATTTTTTCCCCCTTTTACGGGGAACGAGTTAAATTTTTTCAATTTTTGAGAGTAATGTCTTCGACTAGATACGATTTGTAATCTTTTGACTTATCGTTGAAAAAAATCGGTTCGGTGAGAGCTGGGAAAAAGTGGTAACAGACACAAAAAAAAAAATAAAAGAAAACGTATCATAGTAAAATTAATACCTTCTCAGCTTCGCATCAAAACTAAAATATTGGAATTGCTATTTAAAAATCAAAGATGATACGAGTTTAGCGTATTAGGGATGGTGGAAGAAAATCAGTTTTTCGCGTAAAACAGTTTAACAAAGAAACATATTTGTTGAAAATAAAATAATGATTAGCTCCAATATTTTCGAAGATATTTTGTGAGGCGTAAATTAAGAACATATTAATTAGTGTATAAAAGTGTACTGTTAATGAATTTTTTTCGCTATGGTATCCAACACTTTTTATGTATCACATGCGTTAAAATATTTCACTACGTATATTATACATATTCATTTTTATTATATATATCAGTGGAAATGAAATAAGTCTCATTAAATAATTTAAATACAACTCGTAAATTAAAATTAAAGTATTATTTTATTGTTCATAGTAAAAATAATTTGGATTTTTTTTTTTTCATTAGCTGCAAGTATTAGTTCAAAACGGCCAGATCACTTGTCTTATTTCAATATTTATATGGATCGCACTGAGAAACCAATTGTTCATATGGGTAACAAATAATTAATTTAAAAAATGCGAAATAATATTGATATAACGCACCAATATAATTAAATTTTATAGACAATGATCGGCTAACGTTCAACCAAAAGCGGTCAATTCAAAATTTAGTAGAAGAGTGCTGCCGTAGGCCTGTGGAATGCAGTGAAGCAGATTTTCGAGAAATATGTGACAAGAAATAATTATTATACCTTAACGTTCAATTTTTTCAATAACTTAATTATTATAAATTAATGACTTTTTACCAAATAAAAAATATAGATAGTTTTTCCAAAAAATATTACCATTATTATTTTTAGAACATTTTTTATGTATTTAATTCCTAAGTATCACTAGTGACGTGATAAATTATTATAATACTTTAATTTTAAAATCATTACGGTACGATGGTCAGTAAAAATTTAAAATAGTAGGCTCACTAAAAAAAATCTTTCTCGCTTAGCTAAATAAATATGAAAAAATGGTAGCACAGTATGGACGTAAAATAGTTGGTACAAGTAGAGATGATATCTGACAGTGATTAAAATTACTATTATAAGAAATGTTTTTATGTAAATCTATAGATAATGTTTAATTCTAAGAAATTGGTGCATAATTACAAAAGCAACATCAAATTCCATTTCCTTAATTATACCCTGATTAGTAGTTCTTAGATTTAAAAGTATAATTTATAATTTAAGGTATTTTAAAATAAAATAAAATACAAAATCGAGAATTTTAACACAAAAATAGCATATTTTTGAATACGGTAGCAATTATTACCATAAAGACAAAATAAAATAAAATTTTTTTTTTTTTTTATATTAAAGTATTATATATGCTTTAATTTAAAATATATATATAATAGTGTCAGTATTTCCGGAAAATTTTCAAAAGTTAAGTTGAAAGAGTTCATTTTTTGTAGAAAAGTTATCATTTTGAATACCCTCTGTAAGCAGTTAAAGAGTCAGATTTACAAAAAAAGTATACTAAAATAATAGGTAAATTCCTAATTTAACTATAAAATAAACCTAGCACAGTGGGATCGCGGCATAGTGGAGACGTTGCATAGTTGGGTCCAGTATAGATTTAATCTGACAGTGATTAAAATCACTATCATTAGAAACGCTTCGATGCAAATCTGTAGATAGTGTTTAATTTTAAAAAATTGATGGATAATTGCAAAAGCAACATCAACTTCTATTAAAATAAAATACAAAACCCATAATTANTCTTAATTATACCCAGATTAGTAATTCTTTTAATTATATATTATATAATTTTTAAAATTAATTGTGTTTCAAATTATTATTAATTTTGATTTTTAATATGTTAAAAGTAATCATTTTGAACCTNTTGTTTTATTCATTTATTTTTAAGTTATAGCAGTTTTAAGTAGAAAAAATTGAAAAGATGTCAAAAATTACCGATTTATAAATTTATAATTTTGTTTGAGATTTCTTCTATTTACAAGGAACGAAAGAAATTTTTTCAATTTTTGAGGGTAATATCTTTGGCGAGATACAATTTTTGATCTTTTGACGTATCATTGAAAGAATTTGGTTCAGTGAGAGCTAAAAAAAAGTGGTAACAGGCACAAAAAAAAACGCACCATAATAAAATTAATACCTTCTCAGTTTCGCATCGAAGCTAAAAAAACTGTATTTATTGACCAGAAATCTTAATTTTTTTAAGGCAAGAAGAAGGATATTGTATACAAATTTTCTAACTTAATGAACCTTCACAATTATATAGAAGCAAAGAAGTCTTTAAATTGTATCTAAATTATATAATAAAAAATGAATTCTTGTGGCTAATTATTTAAAATTAAAATTATATTAAAAATAGTTAACTTCAAAAGCCACAAAAAAATAAAAAATCGTGGATATATATTTCGAGATTAATGTTACCATTATCAATGTTAAGTACATACAAAAAAGCATTTTTCCAGTTTACACAAGTTTAATAATGAATTCTTTAGTGAGCCAAGATACCTTTAATTAAATTGTTCTTATTTTTAAACATTTTTACACCACCCTTATATTAAATTCTTTGTAATTATTTACGTTTTTAAGTTTTAATGGAGGGATTATGTGTCAATAAATGTTCTACTACAGGAGATTTATCAACTTCTTGATTTTTAATGTTCAAGTGTTCTTTAAACCTGATCTCTATATTTTTCTTATTGTTTGTGCTACGTAAAATTTATTAGATCAAAAATCCGTTGATTTCGAAAACTTAAAGAAACGTTAATTATACAGAATAATACATTTTAAAAACTTTTAAAAAACTTAAAAAAATTTTAATTTAAAATTTGTTCTAAAATAGAAAGGTTTGACTAAACTATTTTATTTAAGATTTAATATACTATACTTTTATTTATACTAAGTACTCGTATTTGGAAATATATATAATCTATACGGGGAGTGTTCAGAAAATTACGGAAGTTTTTAAATTTCGCGTTGTTGGGTAGTCCAATTATCAACATTTTTTTTCATTATGTTGGTACACGTGTCCCTGAAGTATGATAAAAGTTTCAATTGGATTCATTTTTCACTTTGTCACTGGCAGCTGCTAAAGTTAGACATATTTTTATGAACTTGGCGATTTATGTTATTTTAAAAATGGATCAAAGGATTGAAGATAACAAATGAATTTAAGTGTAACAAAGTGTGTGAAATGTTAACAAAGGCCTATGGTGAGTCTGAAACGAGTAAAGCAAGGGTTAACAAGTTGTAGGAGCATTTACAAGGTGGTCGTGAAGACGTTGAAGATTACGAACGCCCCAGCACATAATCAACTGATAAAAACTTGGAAAAAGTGAAAGAAATGGTTATGAACAATCAGCGAATCACAATAAGTAAATTCACAGATGATGTTGGAATATCAATTGGCTTACGCCATGAAAATTTTTGGAATGTTTTGAGTATGAAACGTGTTGCAGCAAAATTTGTTTCAAAAAATTGCTGAATTTTTATCAAAAACAGCGACGAATGGAAATTTGCTCAGGAATCACTTAATGAAGTCAACGATAATGCAGAATTACGGAAATGTGTTATAGTAGGTGACGAAATATGGGTTTATAAATATGATACTGATAGTAAGGCTTAAACGTCCCAGTGGAGGTATTCTGGACTGCCAAGACCGAAAAAGGATCGACAACAAGTACGATCGAACGTAGCTGAATGAGCTAATGGCTATCCCAAGTTTGAGTTTAAGATGTGTTTCAAGGATTGGAAAAAACCGTTGGCTCAATTGTATAATATCTAATGAAGACTTTTATTTTTATAAGGTTCTGGTTTTATTAGGAGTTTTTAAAATTTTCTTTTTTAAGATATCCGGTTAAGAAAAGTTTTTAAAGAAGTCTTAGAAATTCAAAAACCATTAGGAAGCCATGGAAATGAAAAACGCTAAGAAGCCATAGAATTTTAAAAACTATTGAGAAGCCATAGAAATGCAAAAGCATTAAGAAGCCACAGAAAAGCAAAAACACTAAGAAGCCATAGAAATTCAAAAAACATTAAGAAGTCATAGAAAATCAAAAAAATACTAAGAATCCATAGAAATTCAAAATGCTAAGAAGCCATAAAAATAAAAAAAAAGTAAAAAGCCACGGGAACACCAAAGCATATTAAGAAACCATAATATAATTTTTTGACTTTTGAAGAATTTTTTTGAAGAATTTTTGATATTTTGTTTATTATTTTTAATAAATATCCATTACTCTAAATATTTTAGAAGTCTGATTAAATATTCTTAAACAAAATCACTTAGTTTTATTCTTTTTAAATGCTATATTCTCCCATAATATTATGTGGAGTGTTTAGCAAGTTGGTCGACTCTAAGTAGTTGGGACTAAGGTGAGGGAAAAGAAGAAGAAGAGTGTTACCAAGTAAAGAAACGGGTTTATATTGTTCTCATTGTAACAATTAACTCGTTCCCTTATTTTCTGATCACCTCTTCTTCTTTTTCTTCGCCTTAATCCCAACTATTTGGGATCGGCCACTCTTATCCTAAACTTCCACTTGACACGATCTCCCACATCATCTACGCTCACATCAGCTGTCCTCATATCGCATTCAATAGCATCCTCCATATCTTTTTTGATCTACTTCTACCTCATCTTCCTTCAACATTCATTTCTATAACTGTTTATACAGCTTCTGATTCTTCTCTCCTCATAACATGACCAAACCATCTAAGTCTATTTTCTCTCATCTTATCCACGATTGATCACTTTTTGATCACTTGTATAATGTAATCTTCAGAAAAATATTCTATAAAATAACGTGTGAGTCATATTGACTTATATGGTGGCATAGTTAATAAATGATTTTAAAAACCTTTAAATGGACCAGTATTTGTTTTTTAAAATAAATAATTTGAGGTTTTGGTTAAGTTTTTTGTTCTTTATCTTCTTCATCAGAAACCATTTTGAACCCAATCAAAATCGTTTCTGACGGTTCAAGGTTACTTTTTTTTTTAAAATCCAACTCCTAGTTATTACTATGTATTTATGAGATGTAGAAAATTCAATTTACATTTCGGGATGTACTAAATTATTATAATTATAGACCATTTAGTAAAATTTTTTATGGTGTATGCATTAAAATTTTAGTTTCAATGCGAACTTGAAAAAGTATTTGTTTTACCAAGATGTGTTTTTGAGTTTGGAAAAAACCTCTCAATTATAGACATTAAGAAAAATATTTCAAATTTAAGTAATGATGTGTTTTTTTTTTTCTGTCTGTTGCCAATTTTTTTAGCTTACCAATTCTTTCAACGTACGTCAAAAGATCATAAATCGTATATAGCTGAATACATTGTCCTCAACAATTGAAAACATTTTCCTTGTTCCTTGTAAACTGCGGAAATCCTCAAAAAAATTAAAATATCTAAATTGGTACTTTTTGACATATATTAAAATTTTATATTCTTAAAACTGTCATAACTTTTTAAAAAAAGAACGCATCAAGACAATTAATTCCTTATGAATACCTCAGGTATTTCTTTTGGTATATATATTTTAGCTTCGATGCGAAGTTGAGAAGTCATTAATTTTACTATGATCTGCTTTTTTTGTGTCTGTTATACCACTTTTTCTCAGCATTCACTGGACCGATTTCATTCAACGTAAGTCAATAGATCACAAATCATATCTAGTCGTAGACATTACTCTCAAAAATTGAAAAAAATTAACCTCGTTTCCCGTAAATGAGGGAAATCTCCAAAAAAATTACAAATTTTCGACATTTTTAAAATTTTATAAAGGGGGGGTTCAAAACTAAAATATGCATATAGAAAGTGAAAATTTTTCAACTTAATTTTTGAAAGTGTTTCGGATACTTTGACACTTTTATATATACCTTAAATTAAAGCAAATGTAATGTGTTTTATTATGGAAAAAAAAATTTTGGACTTCATTTTGTTTTTGTGGTAAAACGATAAAAAAGTTATATTGATTTTTTTTAAGTATAATACTTGAATAAATACTTATTCTAGCAATTAAAGTTTGTATGAAATTGATATTAAATATTTTAGTATTGTATATTTTACCGAGAAATTATAAAAATTTGTTTTATACAGGTATATTCTTTTAATATTAGACACTTGATTTGTTCTTAAAATAATAAGTATGATAAGATAATCATTTTTGGTGTTTTTTCTAGTTAGTTTCAAATATATTTCGATTTATTAATTATTAAATATTTTTTGAAATCCTTTACGCCTTTCAAGGGTGTCATCTTTATTTTTTTAATGACAACATACATATTTAACTAGCCTATAATAAAAAAATGACCTATCAAGGAAGAAAACAAAAAAAAATGACAACTTTAGACCCATAGGAGGTTATAACTATTTTTAATTATAGAGTGCAGGTGTAGTATGGGTTATTTTATTTTTATTATTATGCGACACACGAAAATTTTTGTAGGGACCTCAAAAAGCATAAAGAACATATTGAAGAAATATGTAAAAAAATAATTATATAATTATAAGTAAAAAGAGCTACTAATAGTAATTATATTAATTTTTTTTTATGTTATCGAAATAACATTAATTTTGTAAATAAATAGATATATTACCATTCAAGGTTAATTATATAATTATATGGTGGAGATAAATTTTTTTCGATTGAAAAAGTATTAATATGTTGTTTTAAATTAATCTCTCGCCCAGAAAAATATCTGCAAACACACTTGTGTTTTAGGGTACAGCAATATTTGTTCTGCTTCAATTTAAATAGTGTTTAATGGTATTTAACTCATAGATTTATTAATCAATCAGTGCTGGTGAAAGTGTGGGTAATCAGGGATCGTGTTCAGGACTGCACGCTTTATTGGACCTCACACATAGTAGTGGTATTAGTTAGGGTTTTATTTTAGAAGATGTATAAAAGAAAAAAGTTTATTACTTTTTAAAATGAAATAAAAATTTTATTTTGTCTATGTACTCAATTTTACTAAGATGATATATCTAATATAATAATGTAATAATTAACTAAACTTACTCTTTACATAGGGACGCCGCAATACCTGGCACGAGCACTGTACTCAATAACTTTATGAAAAAAACTATAAACGATCAATATGTCTTTTAATATTTCCGATTTATATGCAAAAAACTATATGGGATATCTATTAATCGTGACTGTTTCCACAGAACAAATACAAAGAGCTGTTAAAAATATTATTACACATAATATCTTGCTTCTCAAAGCTTCTTGGCCACTGCTAGGACATGTTGTTGGCTTTACGTTAAGTACAATGAAGAGATATTTTATACTAAAATAATATCGAGAAATTGTTCATACTAAAAATAATAAAAAGACACTATATTATAAATATTTTTACATACCATTTAATTATTAAATTATATATAATTAATACACAGTACGCATATATAAAATTACACAAATAATTAGTAATTTATTATTCTATGTTCCATATAATGGACATAATAAATTGTCGTAAAATCACAGACACGTTTTATAATTATTATTATAATAATTTTTATTTGTTTTTTTACACGCCGACAATCATAACGCTAATATCTTAGTGCAAATTTAACACAGGAACGAAACAATTATAAAATACTCTAATTTATACAATTACCTACCAATAAAACAACACTGGGCTTGTAACTATAGAATTTGTTAAATTAGCCATTATTTTCTACGCAGTCAAATATGAAAAAGAGGGGGAAGAAGGTAAAAAAATATATAAATTCATAAGTAAAATGACAGCGTTAAAAGTTTACGGTTCTTTACAAATTTCTAGGATATAAAAAAGATGATATTCCTGAGTTACAGTGTTGCATCTTAGTTATAATTGATATTGACTTGTGATGGCATCTTGTCAAAGTAGGGTGTTACCGTTTTCACACGTCCTGGAACTTTGATTTGTTCTTGAACGTTTATCGACTGAAAAAAAAAAATTCAAATTAGTTATGTTTAAAATTATAATTAGAATAATTATCATTTATTTAGGAATATTATGAATCGAATTACAAATAAACTATGCACCTTATGCAGTAGCGTAGCCAATTATATTCAGTACGAGGAAGTTAACAATTCAAATAACGGTACTTGGCAAAGAAAATATTTTAATTTAATGATTTTAATGTAAAAAAATAATGAGTTTCAAGTTTTAAACCTAATTTTAATAGCAAATTTGAAGATTTTAGCTCAAATAATTTAAATTGAAAAATATTTTTATATTTAATAGTTATAAAAGTATAAAAATATTTTAAAAACTTAAAAAATTCAAGAGATCATATTTCTGCAATAAACTTAATAACATTTGACCTTTCTTTATTATTGAATAATTTTTTTGTATAACATAACTATAATTAAATAAAGTAGTAAACATTTTTAAATTGTAATTTTTTTGTGATTAAGTTGGTTGATATATTTGTTCTTGTTAGTGATAAAATGAGAGGGTCGAGTATCTAAAATTATAGAAGCAAAAAATCAATACATTTATCTCCTAAATAACAATTCAAACTTCTATACTCCATTTTAACCAAGAAAAAATAAATAATTTCTCCATATATCATTTGCCATTTTTACTATGTTACAATATTGTTAAAATTATAAAAAGTAAATGCTGTGATTGATACGCTCCTTTAATATTATACCCTTGAGATTATGTGTTTTTGGATCTGTTACACTGTACATATGGCCTATCTTGACTGATATCATGGTTTGCCTGAAGAACCTAGAAAAGTGAGGGGATTAAAAATTTAAATGGTCAAGGAAATCATGAAAATACTAGGGATTTTTATGATTTTTCCTAGAATTTTATAAAAAATTAATTAAACCTATCATACATTTAGACTATTCAGGGTGACCCAATATGTTAAGCTTTTTAACTTGACGGAGTGCATATACATCAAAAAAACTGTAACCACTCTTACTACACACAGACTCTATGTATTAAAATACTTGTAATGTGTAAACGGTTCATCAATTAAAAAAATTGTTGGAACAAATTTATTTGTTATTTTTTGTTCTATCATAAATTAGTTAAAAATGGGCGTTACAAGTTAAGTTTAAAGTTAAGTAAGTTCAAGTTTAAGTTAAGAAACTTAAATTTTAAATTTTGAACTCTAAAGGAATTAAAAAAAATTATTAAATTACATATAATTGTGGAGCTAATTGAACCAAATGTTTTTTGTCTTTACAAAAATTTTAAATTCTTATTATTTTCTGAGAAAATGAGTATTTTATCAGATTTTGAACGTCCTATATAAAAGAGGGGTTTGGGGTATAAATCATTATAATTTAATTTAAAAAATTAAAATGGTGGTTTATGTAGACAAAGATTTCTATAATTCTATACCTACGTCTCTCGATTAGGAAAAGAAGGAGAAAGTTATTAGTGTGGTGGACATAATACCCATGCATTCAAATTTGTTGTTCCATTGTGCACAAAAGTGTTTTTGAGGTGTAACACCGTCGTTTAAAAAAATTCAAATGGTTAACAAATTACAATACAAATATATTGGGATGATGATGAAATTATACGTCTTCAAGTAAATTATGTATGTCTACATCCTTTAAGCTAAATATGAAATATTTTTGAAAATTTACTGGAAAATTATGGAAAATTCGGGGATTTTGAATTTTTTGAATTTGTGGCAACCATGGATATCTTTGCGTTAACACCAAAAGTGAAATACAAAGTAATCATTACTCGCTAGTTTTTGTTTTATTCATTACATAATAAAAGCTTGAAATTTGTATAATTTCATTTAAAATTAATTGCAAACAATTATTAATATTCAGTAATATAGTTTATTTTCTAAAGACCCTTTCAATTTGAATACCCATTCACAGTGACGTGACAAATAATAAGTTATTTATAAATTAATTTTAACATTTTCTAACTAAATTTTAATCCAAAATTAGAACCAGAACCGTATTTAAAGATTAACTTTATATTTAAGTTCAAAATTCAAATCAAAAATCAGTGGGTTGATTTGGATTTCGAATAGTTTATCACATTACTGGCATAAAATAATTGTCAAAGCTACGCCACTGATAATATGTACTATATTAAATATTGATCAAATGCGTTGCTAAGACCTTCCTTAAACACATGCACTTAATTATTGGTGCGCCAGCGATTCTGATTGGTTTCATATTAGTTTTCTTACTTTTATATATAGAGGTGGGTGCGGGGTCGAATTGTGCTTATTGTTTGTTTTCCTATTATTTTCTTTAGAATTAGGAATAATACTATTTGATTTTGTTTTGATAGTCGTTTGATCGACTAGTAAACTGTTGTCTACTTCTTGTTTTTGTCTCACGGGAGGTATCTGGGGTATAGAGAATATTTCTACAGAGGGTTTCTCTAAGCTTGTCCCAAAAGCACTCTTATCAGCTCTGTAAATTGTAATAGTGTGTGTAAACAAAAAACTTTTTATAATTGTCTGGTTTTTGAGAAGTAAAATATAAATTAAAAGTAGATAATGCGAAATGGTATATAAGCAAAAGAAACAAACGATTTAAAAAACACAATATGACATTTAGCTGTTAATATTGACACTCGTTTACAAAGTGATGAAATTATTAAACTAGAATATGTAAAGAAAGATAAACTATTAACCATGGTTTGATGAAGATGAAGAAAAACAACAGTTGCATAGACTTATGCGAATGAGACTGTGTTACTTATTTGTAAGTAATACGAAAACACAGGAGGTTGATTTTTATCAAAAAGACGGACATTTAAAGAGCGTTTATAGAATAGACTTTTTTGTAACATTAATTTTATATTATATATATATATATACATATAAGGTATATTATTGGAGAATAAATAAAAAAATAGGGAATTGACAAATTGTAGCCAATCAGAATCTTTTTTTTTGATAATTTTGAATCCAATGCCGTTAAATACATAGTTTAATATGTGTTCAGCTTTAATCACAATTGAGAAGTGTATGTTATTTTAAGCATTAATAAGCACCTTAGAGTATAGATTTGTAAGTCAACCTAGACTGCTTGTTTTGTTAACGTTATCATAATTTTATAAAAATATTATTATTTTCATAATATACATAATGCTGTACAATTAAAAAATGCCACTGAATCATTAAAAACTCTACGAGAAATTGTTCAACTTCCTGTATTGAAAAAAGTTTAATTTTTTTAATAACTTAGCGATGTTTACAACAGTGTGATATATAATTTAAATAAATACTATAGTTGAATTAATCGAATGAATTGCTTGTAATAAGATCTCCAAGTCGTGTAGCAAAAATTACATGTTATAAATTAGTGATAAACCGCTGCTGTAATTAATTTACTAAGAAATGATATTTTACACCGTCTCGTCAGGATATAAAATAAAATACAAAAAAGTATAACTGAATTGAATTAGACATAGGTACTAGGCGTATGGTACTCTTGTGTCATAATAATACTTTTATTTACTTTTAAGAAGTATTTAAATTATATTATGTTATAATAGCAAATTTTTTGGCATTAAAAGAGTTGGAAAATATTTATAATATATAAATAGTTGTTAACTGAAGCAATTTTTGTTATACATGCTAAACATTTTTGAACTTTCTAAACTAACCTTTGATTTTCCCAACAATAAGCTTTTAAATGGTGAGGCGTGCAAGTATTTTCACAACATTCTTCTACTATAGGTACTCTTTTACGTCGGCGGCTAGGAGGAGTTACATCTAAAACCAATAAGACCTTAAATTATACACCTGAACTATACTTTATCTAAATATTTGATATTATATAAAAGAACCATATAATATAATTACAACATTAATTAAAAAACTTCTAAATATATATTACTACTAATATATATCCAATTATGTTTCAAAATATGAGATAAATATTTTACAGATCAAATTTTTTTTAGTTCATGGACATTTAGACAACCATTCCCAATATTTATCAACAATTTTTTATTTTATAATCATGTAAATAGTTCAACAAAATTTACAAGAATATTTAAATTCTTTATTCCCTTTTTCCAAAGAAGGAAACATCAAAAGGGTACATCTGAACCATTTTGAGTAAATTTCTGCAGAACTTCCTCCCCTATTTTTTTAGTTTTTTAGTAGAAGTTACACATTCTGTATATCTTGATATACAATACAAATTCTATTGATGTTAAGTTAAAAAAACATGTTCAAATTAACACTCACCATCATTAACCGGATGGAAGTTGTATCCATGACTGCAAATCAATGCTAACACATTTGCTAGCTGTGATCCACAAAAATGCCTCGGCGTATCCCACGAGAAGTTGATAATTGGCGAGCTGTTAACGTGGCTGGCCAACAACAACACTATCACCATTACCAACGCGTTCATAGCACAAATCGCGTCTGAAATGTGTGTAATAGAGTTAAAGATTTAATTATTAAAGAATAATTCAATATAACAGTTCTGAAAAATAAACACAAGTGAGTTTATTTGCCTCGACTTGCATTTAAATATGCATCAAAATAGGCAAACCAACGTATATCATCGATATTATTATTTACCTCTACGTTAACAATAAAAACAATCGGTTAAATTAAGTAGAAGATGCTAAAAATAAACTAATTTAAACCTTAATGCAGTCTACATGGTTATTCAATATGTATTTAGAGAAATAATGCTGAAAATATTTATTTTGAGAAGATAGGCTGAACTAAAAATAATAAACGTTGGACTTGTTGACAACTATTATAGTTACATTAATTCATTTCCTGATCATAATTCAAACGTCGAAATTCTTTATTATTTTTTATGAATACATTTTTTTTTAATAAAACATATATTTATCTTTAGATCTTTTGTCAATTTACAAATTGTAAAAGCCATATTTTCTATAAGTTTGAAATTTAAAGTAATCATTAATAAGAAGCCGTCAGTCAAATCGTTCTACTAAAAATATTTATTTTTTCAATGTTTGAAAATTTTCAGTAAATGAGATTATTACAAAAAAATTAATTAAATGTTAAACTATTAACTGTTATTCTCAGTTGGTAAAACAAATTGTTCGATTCTCCTCCAAATTTTTAATTTCAGAACTGCTCCACAACAACAGAATAAGTGTTCATTTTTGAATAATGAATGAATTTAAATTATTTAAGATGATTAGAAAAAAACTTTTGTTTTTAAGAAAATATTGCTTGAAATTCTTAAAGCATCGCAAAAAATACTTTGTAAGACTTAGCACGTAAACCATTAAGTCATATATGTATAAATCATAGAACATATAAAGGAAAAAATATTGAATAGTATAAAATTTTTATTACAAAAGTATAACATCGTTGCAATTCATAATAAATGAAATTGTTTTTAAATATTTTATTACTATTTGAAGATAAGACGAAAAATTTGGAGGTCCATTTTTATAAGTTATTAAATTTAAACCAAACTACCCAAACTTTTGAACTATCTTATCACTTATCAGAAGTTTATTTATTAAATATTACATTTTATTTATCATCATAACATTTGCGCAATCAATTTTCTTAAAGTAAAACAAAATTCATCGCAATTTATTTTAGTACTAAAGGTTGGTAATTTGTATGTGTTGCAATTAACCAACCAGTGTTGTAAAGAATAGTTATTAAATGTATTTAAAATACTACTTATTTGATATTTATTTGAAATACTATTCAATATATAAAAGAAGTATTGGTAATATTTTTTTACAACTACAAGCACAATAAAATTAATACATGGATGAAACTAAGTAAATAAACTTTTTTTTTATAATCGCCGCAAAATATAAAAAAATATACAAATTAATTTTTTTTTTAATGGATTAGAATTGACTTTTTTTAAATGTTGTTCAAATCAGAATTATGTTTTAATCACTGCTTATTTAAAAAATCAAAAATGTTAAAAATTGCATTGGTCTTATGGAATGTTTTTAAAAGATTTTTTTAAAAACATGTTTTTTAACAACCCGGGTTCAAATTATTATTATGTTTATAGAATATTACATATAAAATCAAGTATATATTGCTTGATTAAATAGTTTTATATTTGAATTCGTATACTCAATGTTATTTTCATCATAGGCGTCTTTTTCGATTCTCTGTTAACACTTCAATGTTTGTTCTATGAAACAGTTGTTTTTTATAGATGCAATAAGTGGATAAAAGGGTATATGTAAAAGAAAATCTATTAATATGGGAAGTTACAGTAAATTATTTTTTTTACTATACAAGAAGTTAAAATTATATTTTGATAAAACTTAATTTAAATTTCAAAGTTTACTTTAATGAATAATTTTTGTATAAAAATGAGAAATTTCTAAGTATTTAATACAAAATAGTATTGAAATCCAACTGATTATAATTATTAAGTATTCATTTAATTGTTTAAATATATTTACTCAAACACAGTACTTTATATAGCTCTGCTTATTTCTAATAAATAACCTACAGAGCCTGTGAATTTTAAAGTTGTGTATGTTAATGATCCATGTTCATTTAACAATAGCTTAATTAAAGTATACGGAGGGGTAATTGGATGTATTAGTAAAATTCAAACTGTAAAAGACCAATAGATTACTTTGTATACGGAATGACCACGCCAAGGACTTCATAAAATATTTAAAAAGTTCAAATTACTCTGATTTAAATCTATTTAAATCAAATACTCTACGGGATTAAGATATTTATGTAACAATCAATAGTTAAAGTGTTTTAAATTATCATCATACCGGAAATACAACGACAACAATACTAACATAGCGTTTCGTCATTTATGTTACTATTATAACTACTAAAGTCATATATGATTTTTTTTCATATTTGTTTCGTTAAAATTAAACAATCATGTTTGTTTGTAAAAGAAAATAATATTTCATAGTTATAACATTGAACGCTTAAGTTAAAATTTTATTAAAATGTCGTCATAAATAATATGTAGCTAAGAATGTATTATTTCTAATAAGTATAATTGAATTATTCGAAAAAATGTATATTTGCAATACCAAAAAGTCGAAAAGTTTTCATAATTTGGGTCAAACAAATTCTAGACATATTTCTTTGTGTATATGCGTCAGTATACCCGTTGATTTTTGAAGTGTTTTTTGTGATGTTGGGTTAATTGTATTTATTTTTAATTAATTAGCACAAGTACTCAATTAAATTATTTCAAGTCTAACTCAATTAATTTTTTTTTTAATATTGAAGTATAACATTAAACATATTAGTATTTACTGTCGCCAAATATATTGATGGAATATTTGGTTTTGTAACTTCCTTTTATCCAATAACTCATTATAAAACAATCAATAATTACAAGGGAGTATTTAAATGGGATCGATTGCCTCTTTAGACTTATACATAGATGCAAATTATGGTAAGGCTTAGAAGGACATCCAACGTTTTAGAAAAACTATCACCGTTCTTTGCCTCTATCCTAATTATTTGGGTTCGTTTTTTCTTTACTATCTGACAGGATTTTTACGCCGACTAACTACTTTACGTAAATAAATTATAATTTTTAAAAAAACTATATATTATTATTAAAAAATGTAGGAGGGAAAATTAGATATTAATTTGTTCAAAATATCCGAAAATTTTGTTGAAATTACGCTTATGGACTTGCACTACACAAATTTCAAAGAACTAGTATTTATGACGACACACTAATAATATTTTTACATAAAAATTTTCTTTAAGGTAAGTTAGAAGAAAATAAATGACATCATCAAAAATATTGAGTTTCCTTTCTTCTAAAAAAATATCTAAATGCGATAGTAAAAGTTGAAATTATCCAAAAATTGTCACATACCAATATAGTATTTTTAATATACACGTAAAAGTTTAAATACGATCAATGAAATTTTGACATAAAAGTACTAAAAATTGAATATAAAGAAACAAATTTTATCTTTGAACTATCTAAAATTTTCCATAGAACGTATGGGTTAAGAACTTTGTACGTATGTATTTTTAAAGAGAATTAATTGATAAAAGTAAATTTTTTTGAATTAATAATTTTTCAAAATGTCGATTCGTAGTATTTTACTCTCAATATCAATAATATAATGGGTAACTTATCCAAAAATAAATTGCTAGCAATATGTTTTTAATGATTTTGTTTTCAAAAGTATTTAATATAACGTGTAAATCTTAAGTAAAGTACCTATCGCGTGAGTTAAATGTATCAATAGATAACTTAATGTAGTTAAACAAATCAGTCATGAAAATAAATTGAAATATAATGAGTATATTGAACTTACTTAGTGGAATAAAAAAAATTCTCTTTATTTATAGTAAATATATAATCTCCATAAATTTCAGAATAGTAATGAAATGCTCAAAAATTGGATAAAAATTTTTCCGAAGGCATTTTTCCCGTTATAATACAAATCATATAATTTATTTTAGTCTTTTGATTTGTAACTCTATGAACTACTTATTAAATACTCGCATTGATTTCAGTACAATAGAACACATTAAATTGTGATCAACGTGTTGTTGATCACTTTTAGGGTCAAAGAACATGACGTATCCATAATCAAATGCAAAGGATTTAGTAGTTTTTCATTTCATCATTATTTGTTTTTTTTATAATAATTATCTATTTTTATGTGTACATAAATTTTTAAGCAGCAATGTTATCACAATTTTTCAAGTAAACAAATATATTTTAATATTAATTAAAAATTTACCTGAAGATTTATTGATATACTAATAAATATATATATATATAAGTATATCAAAATTAATTACGAATATTTAATAAATTATTTTATGAGGAAACAGTCTTCTGCGATAAGGTATCTTGTACCCTGTTATAATATCATGATTTTCTTTCTTGTCCACAATGCATGATTAATATTAATTGAAAAAAAAATTATTAATACATAACTATTAGATAACAATATAACAATAGATTTGCGCGCTAATTAATTAATGACGTCCAAGAGAAATATAAAGATATTAAATCTCTACGAGAGGTTTAATTACTCTCTAACTAACTTGACACAAAATTAAGAAGAATTTACTTCGAAGTAAAAGTAACTTTCTTCAACTGAATTTAATGCTAATTTTAATATTACAGATAATTATTACTTAATAATACTGAAATATTAAACTAATTTTTTAGTGTATAAAATATATTATGGTAAAGTGATCGTAGAACATTTTTGTGACAATTGTTTTTGTTTTCTTGAATATACAGAATATGAAACGCATTTGTTTACTCATGTTTCAAAAACACAACACTGTACTTATTTCTCGTGCCCTCTAATAGACATTAAGTAATATTAAGTGATGACCCACTGCACGCGAAAACCTTGTTAAAAATTTGCCACTAACTAAACAACACACATATCTATTTATAGAGCCAGCACGTGTGAATATAATTT